TGCCTGCTGTGTATACTGCTAAATATTGAACCTTGCTGTGACTCAGCGACATTGTTCAGACTTGCCTTTTCCTAAATCACAGATGCGGACAGGCACAGTATTACTAATGTGCAATAATGACAACATGTTATTATGGATTGCTCACTCTTTGTCCCACGTCTTGACATGCTCCTCCTTTCTTCGTGCCTCTTTTGATCTTTCTGTGTCACAGTACCGATGCTTCCACACCTGGACGAGATGGTGTTTGCAAAAGTATATATTTGAAGCCTTTGCACCCCAGCTGTGTAGACTAAACATTTCTCACACTGTTTTAATGTGTCTATGGTGCCGGTTGGTTCTACTTCACCACAGGTCTCTATTGTGTGTTTAGAAATTACTGCTTTGAAGTAAAAATTGTGCTTGGCCTGCACACACCGTAATCTCCAGCGATGTACCATGTCTAGACAGACATGACCTCTTTAAGCTGGACTGTAGTCTTGCATTTGAGATGTAATTGTGTTATTGTAATTGCTGTCTTTATCTTATTAGGAAATGCTATATTTTGCATACTTGTGAGAAGGAGCCCTGTGAGTCACTATTTGACACTTTGGGCTGAGTCAGGGTGATTCTCTTGTTTCAAAGAGCCGTGACCAAAAAATGAGTCAGCTGTCAGACTGTACAATAAGTCACTTGGGTGTATTCAGACCAGGAAAGTCCTTTGGTCCGCTTGCATTGGTCCGAACCAAAAGCGGACCAAACATTTTTCTTTGGTCGGTTCGTATTCAGACTGTCACTTTTTGCGAGTGAACTTTTTTTATAAACATATCGACGCGTGTGACGATCGGCGCTCCTATTGGACAGCGAGAGCTCACGAGGATAGATGCAGAAATGGAGGAAATTATTGAGCTTGTACACATGGATCTATAGATAACGGCTCGTACGTGCTGCATGTGGGCGGCACGTGGCTGAGTGGATAGCACTCTCGCCTCTCAGCAAGAAGGTCCTGGGTTCGAATCCGGCCCGGACCAGGGCCTTTTTCTGAGTGAGTTTGCATGTTCTCCCCGTGCCTGCGTAGGTTTCCTCCGGGTACTCCGGTTTCCCCTACCACTAAATTATGTACAATAGGTCTGGCATGCGCCTCCTGTTCGGCGACCCCGCTCCCCATCTCTGTGTGGAGTGAGAGGACAAGTGCCCAAAAAAAATAACAATTGTAAACCGCTTTGTGACTCTGGTCTGTGAAAGGCGGTATATAAATAAAGCTTACTTACTTACTTACTATGTCTGCTCTGTCTATGTTTCCTTATAAAACAAAAACACCTTCAACATCAACAGCAGCTCATTAGACACAGGTTTGACGATGCTGCCATTAACATCACTGTATACTGTGAAAATGTTTAAACTTGTTCATGCAGAGTGTCTCCTCGTTGCTCCAGGTCTGCGCACGGCTCATCGTTGCTGTGTAGCATGTGTTAGCAGCTGTGACGCGTGGCCAATTCCTCACAGTTTCTTGTTAAGCCCAAACAATGCGCACGGTATCCTGGAGTTGTGTTGGATCGAAACCAGATGTATTCAGACCTGAATCGACTTGGACCAGAGTTCGGTTTGGAAGCGGACCGAGACCACCTAAAAAAGTGGGTCTCGGTCCGGTTCTTTGGTCCGGAACCAGGATTCGTTTTTAGTGTATTCACACCTGCATAATAGGTCCGGATCAGAGTACCAAACGAATCCTGGTCCGTTTAAAGTGGACCAAGTTTTGCAGGTCTGAATACACCTAGTCAGCACTTCTATTGCCACTTTTTAACTGTACATAATTATATCCTGCACTGACTATATTTTTTACCTCAACATGTTGCACACGTCTGTCTTTTTGCTCAAATCCGAATTATTCTATAAATGCCAAATGTGACATGTAAATTTCTCCGTTGTGAGATCAATTAAGTTTATCTTATCTTATTTGTGTTAGAATCAAACTGTTTTGAATACGTGAAAAGTAGGTCCTGGGTTCAAATCCCGGTCGGAACAGGGCCTTTCTGAGTGGACAATAGGTCTGAATGTAATGAGTGTTGGTTGGGGGGCTTTGATGCGCCAGTGTGTTCGGCGTCTCGCTTCCATCATCATCGTGTGGAGAGAATGAAACTCTGAACATTGTAAAGCGCTTTGGGTGTAAAAAATGCGCAATATAAATAGATTACTTACTCACCATTTTACTACATGCAGTCGTTTTCACTTGTTTGTGGTCTGGAAGTTTGAAAGCTTTAAAGTATTTTATAACGACTACAAATCTGATTAGGATTTATTGTACATCCCCATTTTCTTCTTCTGCTTATAGTGTGACTTCAGCTCCTAGGAATTTGCTGTATCTATAACAGAGCTGCTACTTTGCATTAGTGTGTGAGCTGTGAGGTATTGTCATGCTTATCGGAACGGGAGGGGTGAGAAGTTACATGTGCATAACAGCGACGAGACTCCTCTTTGAAAACCCCATCGCTGACTCTATCCTTATTTATTTTTCTCTCCCTTGTATTGCCTTGGCCCTCCTGTGTGCCTGCATGTGTCGGCACTGTTCCTCTGTCCCGTCACAGAGGTATTTGGACAGCTGTGGTTGGCTGTGTGTATTGCAGAGGTTGTGACCCTGACATCTTGTTTAATACCTGGCTCTCTTGCCTTAAATGATGGCCAGAGCAAACACTGTGGTCCTGGGATGGCTTTCAGGCCGTCGCCGCGAGCAGGCGTTTATGTGTGTGGCTTTACAGGCTTGCATTTGAAGCAGGACTAGCTGTTTCTCCATTACAGCTAAACTACATTGTTAAGCTCTGTGAAGTGTCCCCGCGGTGTAGTTTGAGTTTAGAACGGTGAACAATTATCCGGCGTTGTTATATTTTCACGTTTCTTGCTGATTATAATTCCCTTCTTGAAACTTTCCCCATGCGGCTGTGCTGTCTTGCATTTGGTTTGTGCTGAATTTACAATTAACTTTTATTTTAGGCGTGGTGTCTGAGAAGATGGACAACAGAGGTATAAAGATTTTCCGACACAATATCCAATATTTGACTGGCTGTTTCGTCTTGAGATTGAGATCGCAAAGCATACAAAATTATGCTATGGAACAGGGATGGGATAAGATCTTGTGATTTTGGCAAAGCAAGGCAAGTTTATTTTTATTGCACAATTCATACACAAGGGAGCTCAAAGTGCTGAACAAAACAAGATGGAGACAGTCACAAGATAGAGACATATAAAAATGCCACACAATTGCAATCTTTTGTGTTGGAAAATCCTGAGACCAAGAAATGGCACGAATTCCATTTCTCGCACGTTTGGAGAAGCCATAATCCACAAATATCGGGAGACAATGGGCCTCATTCACGAACGGTTCTTAGGAACAGATTTGTACGTAAATCCTACTTACGCGGTTTTTACGAAGAAAGTGGCATTCACGAACATTTCTCGTAACCAGAATTTCTCTTGGGCAAGTACAAATCCTACGAGTCCTCAGGAGCACTCGTACGCATTCAGTGCCGACATGTTCACATGCGGGGGTTGTCCTCTTTGGTGAAGTTGAATAAAAATACAACATTCCAGTGATATGTCCGTCATATCGATGTATGTATTTATTTATTTGTAGTAATCTTTATTAGTAATCTTTATTTATATACCGCCTTTTTCACTGCAGATCTGGCCTACTTTTTAATTCATTTTGAAATGAAATGTGCCAACGCTTTATCAAATACATTGGAAATCTTGCCGTGTATTAGTGACCCCTTCCTATTTATAGGGGGCATTTCTTTATCCACGGGCCACAGAACAACGGCATATATACTGCTGCTGCAGGAGGTTACTGGGTCCGCGCTGAGTCTCTGCGCTGGTCTCTCCTATGGATCTATACGGGTCTGCGCTGGTGTCTCCCATATACGGGTCTGCACTGGTCTCTCCCATGGATCTATACGGGTCTGCACTGGTCTCTCCCATATACGGGTCTGCACTAGTCTCTCCCATGGATCTATACTGGTCTGCACTGGTCTCTCCATACGGATCCGCGCTGGTCTTCGCGGATCATCTTTCATTCATCTTTAAAATAATACATAATATATTTTTAAATTAAGCTCATAACATTTTGAGATTAATCTCATCATATTCTTAGATTAATCTCATAATTTTGCTAGTTCGACTTTATTATCATAATATTTCGACTTTTAAGTCAACATTTTATAACTTTATTCTCAGTCTGGTAAAAGAAGAAAAAAGGGTGACTTTTGCTCCGTGTAAAGGCCTGTTGCTGTTTCCTCTGCCGTCTGCACACGGCCCTGCAGTCCCTTATATGGGCATTAGTGGGCGGTTACTTATGCTAAGTACCTATGCTAATGAAGCACCTGGCACGCGCGCTCTACTTACGAGGAAATGGGATTCATCAATCTGAGAGAACAGCTGCAAACAATTCAGCGGCTTACGAGTGCGTTGATGAATCCCACGTGGGGACTTCTTAGAAATCTACTTAAGGACAACTTGAGAAGAAAGTTGAGTAGTTTCTTACGAAGTTATTCGTGAATGAGGCCCATTGACGGCAAAGATCTGAATTAAAATACATCTTAACTGTTTGCTTTCTTTGTCCAATGTCTGAGGTCTGCTTCTATAAATTATCCCCTAATCTTGTTGAACCAAATTCTGTCTGATCACGCTTAGAACAAAATACACTTTTCAAAATACTGGAGTAATTAAAAGCATGGTTGTTTTTAGAGCCATTCTGTTAGCTTAATGGCTGCACTATTTACATTTTTACTCAATTCATCAACAAATTAGGGAATGAGGAAAAGAACTTGGAATGAGACATGGACACACAGAATATTGGGGATAACTAAATGCAATACAATTTATTCGGAACAAACTGCTTCATTACTCCTAATGTCAGTATTTCAACCAGTATTAAGACCTATGTATTGTCCAATCCTATATGACGAAACACGACGCAAAGACCTCCAAAGAGAAAAATAGCTCATTCTTATGTTGTTTGTGTGTTTTCGCAGGTTACTCGCTGTGTCTGGGCAAATCATATTTCTTCCGGTTCAACCATCCTGAAGAGGCGACGCGGATGAAAAGCATGCTTCCACAAAAGAGCCCCGTGTCGGCGTTGGCTTATAACACAGGTACGGTGTGCACACGCCTTTGTGCGACCTCACTTTGACTTAACTCTGTGTTTGTGCATTCCTCTTCTTCTGGTCCACTGCCCATCCAAACACCACGGCCTTTACGTTTTGTTTTCATTGTCAATTCAATTAGCTTCTTTGTGTTGGAACTTGTTTTGCTCAAGAAGAAGAAATGTCCGTTATATTGTCCTATTGTGTCATAATACTGTGGGTTCAAACAATAATTCAAAATAAGTGAAATAACACGATAATGAATACTACTACGTTATTGATATTCTAAATGTATTATATTTATAAGAAAGTACTGCAAAACATAAGATAAAATAAGAAAATTGCAGAAAAAATGTAATAACAAGAGCTCTCTTGGCCTGTTATAATAAACATTTGGATGGACTATGCTTCCAAAACGATCAATTTGAAACTACAGATGACAAAAGTACAGAGGGATGATCCCTTTAAAAAATAATATGCAAAGAAATCCATGCAGAATTTTGTAATATTAAGACATATAAGATACAGTTACAGCTAAAACCTCTTAAAGCTGCACTAACTGACTTTATTTTCGTATTCATTACGAAAGTGCTATCCATGTCCATGCAGTGCATTGGGATATACGTCCTTTTGAAGAAAAAGTAGCGCAGATTTGTGCTGGCGTGACATTTTATTTTAGATCGAGTTTTGATGAAACAAAGAAGAGATGTGTTTCGGGTCTCAGATTGTGACCAATCACAGCGCACCACTGGCCCCCACTTTCGTGAGAAATCTACAGGTCCTTGTTAGCATAGACGGCTGAGTTAGCACAACAAACGGCGGAGCTAACCTGAAGCTTCCTCGTCTTCGTCACCGGTTACTGCTTACACAGCGAAACAGCCATCCAAAAGAAAGTCCCGTTCCTCCGCGCTTCCCGGTTCTATCGTTCTATGGTCACGCCATCCACGTGCAAATCCATATCCATGTATTATCCATATTGGGAGACGCTAGCTCCGTCAACAACAGTGGGTGTGTGTGGGGGGCGATAGCTTCGAGGGTGCGGGGAGGGGAGTTAGTTAGTGCAGCTTTAATTTTACAAAGAAAGTAGCAGCAATCTCCACTTTTGCAAATAAATGGTTGACAATCAGTTATTGAACATTAAGTTGATTTTAAAATGATTGTGACAAACCTTGTCAGCTTATTTTTTGTTTTGTTGTTTAGACAAATAGAGAAATTATATATATTTGTTTTCAATATCAGCCACCTCTATCTTGCAGGTGTATGAGACCTATCCATATTTATATATTGATGTAGATTTTTTTCAACCCAAATCAAAATCAATGACCAACATATCTCCAGCCTTTTGTTTGATGACATAATAAATGATTATTTTTACATGTCTTTCCGTACACCTTTACTGCTGCACACATGTTGGAGCTTAAAGTTGGAGCTCATTGGAATGTTTGACGTGGAGATACAGCTGGAGTTCTGTCTCCATGGTGATTTATCATTCTCTCTGTCTCATAATCAGTGGACTCTTGGCCAAAACAAACCTCACCTTTCAGCATGATTACATTTTATATCAACTACTGTTAACATAAACATGAAAAGTATGACGTTATCGACAGGATTCAAGACTAAACCAAAACGAGAGATTAAGAAAATAAGTAGAATTATGTCCAGCGACTGTGACGAAAGGCGGAGGCCAGGGCTCATAACCCTACGACAGATACCATTTTGTGAGAAATGTCTTCACCGATGTTGTACCTTGACCTTTGTGCCAGAGATATTCCCAAAGTCAAAACATTAATATGACAGTTTAAAGCCCAGTTCTTTTACTGTTGAATGTTTTTATGTACAAATAAAAGAGCCTTTTTTGCATTTAAAGGCGTTCCATGATCAACCACCTGCTTGTCTCATAAATATGTTATTGCTTCGCCTGGAATGTTCCACAGTACGCTTCCCCATTTTGCACTAGTTCATTTTTATTGATAAAGACTATAGTTGGCCTTTAAGCCTCACCCATTTGACGAGATTTATGGAACACTGAAACATTCCTGAACAATAATATCACCATGGAGATGACAAGCTCTCCACCAGAAAACTAGCATTATTGACCTTTAAAACCACAGCCAAACCAAAGCAATGTTTCATTTGAGACTTATGGATACAGCAACTCATTCTGGCGACATATTACCAACATAAAAACACAATCTCAATTAACCCAAAGACTCTCATTCACAGGATGTGGGTTTGACTCCGGGGTTGTCCTCAGTCTAAACCTTCGCCTTTTTCCAAATTCACCAAAACCATGCACTGTTGGGGAAATCCTGCAGTTAAAGTTGTCTTGATACGTCTCAAGATATACTGATGATCTCACGGCCTCTGCCAGGATGAAAGTTCAGTCAATGCAAGTGATGTTCTGATTCATGAAGTCTACTGACCACTGGCAAATCCATTAGGCTGTGATTGGCTCAACATGGTCGTACTCTGAGCTTGGCTGAGTTGACTGCAAAGGGACAAGGCATCAACAAAAGAGCCCTAAAAAATGTTTAACACAAGGTGCACATACATTTAATGCATTTATTTATGTATTTGACAGGGACAGTACATGTTAATGAACATGTGGTTGAACACCTCAGATTCAAGCCTCTGTAAAGGACGCTAATTCCCATAAAATTATTTGTCAGCTTAAATGCCATGTAGAAGTTTGCCTTGATCTTGAGACCCACAGCTCTAAAGTCTGTGCACCACAGAAATGTGCGGCTGCTCCTCAGACTTCTCTCACATTTGGTCCAAAAATGTCCAACTGAAGTGCCAATGCCAAAGCTTTACACAGCACTAACTGCCAAGGCTTACTGAGTGTGAAGTACACACCTAATGGGAGAACAGCCATACAAAACAAACAGAACCACAGAAAAGTTGCAATGGAAGAGCGTTGGGCCAGGAGCAGGGGTCTGCCCATGTATGGACACAAGCTGTGTGTATGTCTCGCTCTGATGTGCTCCATCTTATGATGTCTTTGACTTTCTGCTCCATTTATCTCCATCAAGTTTGGACTTTCACATAGATGATAACAAATGGCTTTCACTCCTGGTTGCATTCCCTTATTTCACACTATTTCTTTACATTCTGCAAAATCCATGGCACAACTTTGAAAACTAAAAGTCACTTTTTCATGCTGCTTCTCCTCCTGTTGTTGCAGTGTAAGGCCAGGGATTTAGTGTGTAGGCGTGTGAAGCTATAAAACACTGGGTGGTCTATACTTGTATGATGTCATAACTTTTTTCCACATTAATCCTCAGATGATTAAAAAAAGCTGTCCAAGTTTCTGCTTTCATACGTTTACCTTGTCTTCCTTTTCCATCACCTTTTGTTTGGATAACTTTAGCACAAAGCAGAGCGAGACTGAAATAGATATTGGCTGATAGTAGCTTCCTAAAAAATAAGTCCACTGGACCAAAATGGACACAGTAGTGGTTTTGGAGGCACTCAAAAGGAAAGGGCGGTGGTCTCTTCAGGGACTTCAAAAATATGTTGTGGTAATTTCAAAAATCCAAACAAAGACGTTCAAACTCGATTAGAGCCAGTCTATTTGTGTTGCAATACACATATGGAGAAGAATGAGAGTAAGCACCCCTCTACATTTGAAAACCAAATGAAATCATTGACATCTTTGATGCAAAGTCATCGGCTTATATCACATATTTACAATACAATTCTATGCACTACCTGCTCTAGCATTTGGTTTGTTTCACTAGAAGTATGGGAAAAAAATAGTTGCATGTTTCTGGTCAGTAATTCAAGCCAAGCAGTATAGTCATTTTCATTTGGTTCCAGATTATGTAAGCACAGTAATAACAGAGTTTAAGAAATGGGCTGTGGTCTAGGTTAGGGTTCAACAGGCACACACCATCATACAATGCAACTTGAAATTGCTCTCCTAATATTAAACATGCACTTTTTTTATAAGTGTTTGAAGTGCTAATATCGAATTTCTCAAATGTCCTAAAAAGGAAAAGCCTGAATACTCAAGACGACAATCCTTTAAAGGTGCCATATTTCGCTTTTCTTAATTTTTCACAGTCCATCCTATGCACATGTGTGATAATACTTTGGGTGATACACCATACTACACTCAAATTGTAGCCATTACGTCCATAAAGGGTATGTCAGCTCATGTGAAACGCTTGGATCTGTGCTCCTCTGTCTGTGAGCCCGCCCCCCGCAGTGACGTAGCCTCTCGCTAAGTTCGAGGTAAACAAGAGCTAACTGTACAGCTTTCACTGTTACAGTCATTTCAGACCATGAGAATAAACTTTTTCCAACAATGGCAACCCGTCACACAGAGCCCTATGTCCTCGATCAAGAATCAGACCTAATTATTTAGTTCACAGGGACATACAGCGAGTTAGTTGTATTGCACACAGTTTCCCTTTGAAAAATACAATGAGAAAGTCAAATGTGTCCTGTTTTTGTATGTTGTTGTTCAGTAGATTTTTTTTTCCACTGATACATTTTCAGAATTTTTTTTATGATGAAGTGCTAGTTTTGTTATATATGCATACAATATTATACTATATTTAACATGAATTGCATTATTATTTCATCCATGCAGACTACCTGAAGTTCAGCAGTGACTACAGCCATGGGGTGGTGGGAGGCAGCAGCTCCAGAGGAATGCGCTCAGCTTCTGAACTCCGTGACTTGATGGACACACTTCAACGCAAGAAGATCGCTCTGGAAAACAGTCTCCGAGCAAATGGAAACGCCAACCCCTCCTACTTCAGCGTCACACAGGTAACTCCATTAAATTATGCACCTATAAAAACATACTTTGTAAAAGATAGGTAATCTGAATGCAGGGGGGGAATCATTGTTAATATCACTTTGACTGGAATGAGAAGGGAAAACAGTACCAACTTTTTACCTAGATGAAATAGATCAAATATAAAAAACAAAAAGCCTGTGTCTTTCAGTAGATTTTGTGATTATTTTATATGCATACTCTCATAGTTTCTTACCATTCTTACTTTCCAGTCTCCTCCCACCACACCGGTCTCCAGCCCGCCTTCGTCCTCATCGTCCTATCAGGAGCAGGCCAGGCGCATCTATGGCTCAGACCGTCCCCCTATTTCCATTAAGACCGTCACTTCTCTCTCGTCTGGGCGGCGATCCGATCCATCGTCATCCAGACCCTCCAGCCGTAACCAGGACAACCACGGCGTGAGCGACAGTCGCAGGCATTACAACCAAAATTCCTCGCTGATATCGACGTGGAACGGAGGCGGGTCTTCAAACTCAGTTGCCGGCGGCGACACTCTCCTCCTTACTTTACCGCCTCCTTCTACGCGTAGCACATCGTCCGGAGGAGCAGTGAGCATGCCGTCCAGCCCGCGACTTGGAAGGCGGAGTTTTGGGAATCAAGAACCAGCTCCTTCCAGAACCAGGAAGTACTCTGCTGGTTCGTTGAATAACATGATGATAACAGGAAGCCACAGCCGATCCTTGCCACGCTTATGTCCCTCTTCGTCTCCGCGAGATAACGGCACAATGTTGACTCTCTCTACACTGCCAACTCGACGATCTGATACAGGTGGGAGTTATAAACATAGCAGAGATCATTACAACAATAATATCAATTCAAATTTAGACTTGAACCATAACTCGAGCAAGAATCAAAACCAGAGCACAATTTTGGGTGAGAGCGTCGTGTCCATTTCTCTTTCCGCTCCCAAGACGCCCAATTCTACCACAAATGCTCCCCCAGATGTGACTCTACCATCGCGGGCTGGGGGCTCGGGTTCTCCTCGAATGGCCAAAAAGCTCAGTCTGACATCCACAAGCTCTGTAGGATCAACAAATTCTAGTCCCTCGGATCAGGAAAGAGGTGTCAATGGAAATGATTCTGCTCAGTGTGACAGAGATAGACGTGGGGCAGGTACAGACTTTACAAGCCCTGGTTTTGGAATAGGAGAGAGGAGAGCTTCTTTCGGAAAAGCAGGAATAGAGCCTGGAATGGGCTTTGGAGAGAGGAGGCAGTCATTTGGAAAAGCAGGAATTGGACCACCTGGTGGATTTAGAGAAAGAAGGGGAAGCATTAGCTCACTGAGTGGGAAAGAAGAGCTGACTGATTATCACCAGCGACAGAAAGAGGAAAGGCTCCGTGAACAAGAGGTGGAGAGACTGGTGAGTTTTATCAATAAATAATGCAATTTTTTTCGTATTTCCCAAGTGAGAGACCACAATGTTCACATTACAGTATCAAATGAAATGCTTTGAGTTGAGGATTCCCTTTCGTCAAATCAGTCTGCAGTTGTCCTGCCTCGCATACTCTCCCAGGGAGCTTTGCACACGCAAACGTGCACACACACGCGCACATACTGAGGTTCACCACTAGACAGATGCCTCTGGAGCATTGCCCAAACTAACAGAACTATTCTTAACTATTTTCCTGAGTCCTAGTGTTTGTATATGTGTGGTGTATGTTTATGTCAGTCATCTGGAGGTCCGTGCAGTGCGGTCCTGGCCGCTGAGGACCCACACAGCCCTTAAGTCAGATGTGGTCTCATGAAATAAGAAGATTAGAGAGTGCAGTCATAGCATAGCAGGTGGATAAACATAAGCATGCTGCACATATAATGACAAGTGGGCTTAAGTCCCTCCAGTCTTCACTTGATGTATCTCTTGGATTCACACGGACATATAATAAATGTGGTCTGTGACCTGTGAGAAATATTTTCTTCTGGACAGTTTACAAACCACGTCTATTTTATGGACATACTGTTTATGTGGTGAGCCTTCTGAATGTTACCAGAGTTACATCAAGGTTGTTGGAATTCTATATAAATGCAATATATATTATAAACTATTTCAACCTCCTTTAAGTGAAAATGTATTTGATTGAAACAAAACCCAATTCTGTGTTAAAAGCTGTGTTTATTTATTTCCTTATATTTGTTTTTATAACTTAGCATTTTGAATATGCCTCTGCCCTCTAGTGGCTCATTAAAAGCAGTGCGTCTCCCTTGGTGCTTCGGCCTGTGTAGTTGACAGCTGATTATTATAAAGGCCCCCCTGAGGCTTGTGTTCATTAAAATAGAACAAGGTGACAAACCGCCACTGCCTCCTGATCACAGGCTATTATTAGACACATGCGGCAATAAAGTTTGGCCCCATATTATATTCCAACTTTTATTTGGATAAGCTTGTGTGACTTTTGCTAACATTGACGAGCCCCGCAGATTTGGCTTTTGTATAGAGGCAGGTCAAGTTTATGGTGTCATACTTTTCTGTAGCTCTGACTCTGTGCATACTTGTGACAAAGTTGACAGCTGTCCACTTTCTTATTAGCCCCCTGCCCAGGCATCTCTTTCACACACACGAGTCTATATGGATATCTGCTTCCTCTGGGCTGGTCCTCTCTCCTTTTCCACACACACATTTGCATTTTGCCCTCCCTGTTGCCAGAGTTATCGGTGATGTGTTCTGCCCCTCTTTGACCACACTCCAGGTTACAGGCAGAACCAGCATTTCAGACGAGGAATCTACTATATTTGCCTTTTCCCTCAACTCACATTTTGACTGATAAGACAATTGTGAATAGATTACATAGAAAAAGGACATTTTACAGATGCTGCCTCAGGTAATCTATAATCTTTGTAGGTTATGGAAAAATATGTTCTTATTATCTGCGGATTTGTAAACTTAATATTTCTATTTTAATCTTGCCTTTGTTGTTACTTCAGGAGCGGCAGCGACTGGAGACTATTTTGTCTCTGTGTACGGAGCTGGGCCGCTCTGACAGGGAGGAAAGTTGCACAAGTCCCACTTCTGCTGTGGCGGATCTGCAAAAGATAAACCAGGAACTAGAGAAATTGCAAGTGAATGATGACGATGATGACACACCTTCAGTCTTTTCCGACTGCTCCACTGTCAATGGAATTATGGGAAATGGTCACATGACATCACCTGGCTCTGAGAATAGTTTCTATGAGGATGATGCTCAGGTACAGCTGCGTCACAGCAGCGGGACCCGAGACAACAGGGCCGAGTCTCCAGCCGTCAGCCTGCGCAGCTTTGCCCCCTCTCCATCACCGCGGGGGCAGAGGACCAGTGAGGTACAAATCTCTTTTTAAAGGTCTTCCATTTAACGTTTTTTTTTTTCTTTTTGTCACAGTTCATTACACAATAAATAACATCTTTCTTATAATCACCTAAATTAAAAATGGCTTCTTTAAGTGTCTCTTTTGTTTTTGCCTTAAGGGCTTTGACACTTATCATCGCAGAGGACAGAATCACAATTTCTCTGATGGAGAAGTCCGGCGTGTGGAAGAAGAGAGGATTCAAGTCCTGAACAACATGGAAGAGCTGGAGAAAAAAATAAAAGACCTTGACAACCAAGTTGAGGAATCTGCTCGAGAGGTACCGTGTGACTATCAACATGTCTCTATGTGTTAGTGAACAGATCCTAAATATTCATGTGTTCATGTATGAAAGGTGGAAGTGGAACAAGCCCTCGTCGAGGCTGAACAAGAGTCTGAGGTTGCGGCTCTCCAACAGGAAAAAGATTCTCTTGAGTCTCTCCACAACAAGATTACTGACCTAGAGAACAAATCCAAACAAGAAAAAGAAAAGGTATTATTCTCAAATTAATTTATAAAACCTCCTCGAGACGGCATTTTTGGTTTGCATTAGTGATTGAATTCTGAGAAGAACCTCTGAGTGTGTTTGTGTGAGAAGGCCTCTCCTACATTTGTGGGTCATGTGACACATGGGTAGGTGTTAATCCTTCTCATGCTGTCTCTAGTCCAAATATATATCTGCTAACACTGTCGTGGGTGCAGTGGTCACTCACTGATCAAATCTAACAAACACTGCAGCTCAGCTGTGGATGGTGCTTAACAGAACAATATGCAACACACAATACAAGATGAGGATTGCAGCAATAAGCCAACTCTAGTGTTGTGTCATGCTGAACTAGGGGAAGGATGCTTGTAAAGATGTTGGCTGTCTACTTTCAAACCAAAATCCCTAATGTTTGTGCTAGTTAACCTTCTGTAGCAACTTCAAACCTGTTCTTTTGCTCTTTCATCTCCCACCAGCCTCTCCTTACCTATTTCATCTGACAAAGGCTCAATAATGCTTTCTCACTCAATGAAACCTATCAATCACATGATTTTTCCCATTCAATTATCCAGTTCATTGTCGTGACTAACGATGACACCCACTCCCACTAACCAGCCATCCTCTGTGTCTTTGGTGTGTGTGTCCCACTGTACACGCCTGTGTATACGCTGTGGGTGTGTGCGTTTGTGTCGCGGTGTGTGTCAGGCCTGTGAGCTGCTGCAGGCAGAAAGGGGCAGAGTAGAGAGCTTGGCTCAGAGTGTGAGTGAGCAACGCTCCCAGCTGGACAGTTGCCCTGAAGCCACCAAGGAGCCCCTGCAGGAGCAGCTAGCCAGGGTCAGTACACAACCACACTCACTGGGCCAAATGACACTATATTGGTACCTATATGATTCAATAAACTGCAGCAACTTTCAGCCTTCTCCTTTCTCTCTCAGTTAATACTGTTTTGTTTAGATTTATTATCTTTATTTACTTGCAGTTGCTGTTTGTCCTCTATTCTATAAATAAGAAACGAAGAATACCTGAAGTACTTATGCATGTATTAAACCCTGTCCTAACCAGTGGGGTTCTTCTAACAACCTGCTTGGTGCATGTGGATAATATTTAGGTTTGGGCGTCTGACAAAACAAAGGCCGTCATAGATCTGGGCTCTTTGTTTTTGGATTGGTTTTGCCTTTGCCTTAATTGATTTCATAAGGATCAAAATGAACAAGGTCATCAATAGTGCTTACATTTTTTCTGTTTATTGAAAAAAATCTTGTGCTGGATTTTTTGATTTTCTTTAATACTACATGCACTCATTTAGCATGCTACTTTTACTTCATTGTAATATGTCTGTCTTCAAGGACTGCGAGGCGCTTGAAACTAAGACGAAGCGTTTTGAGGACCTGGAGTTTCAGCAGCTGGAGAAGGAGAGCCGACAAGACGAAGAAAAAGAGATGCAAATGCAGGAGCTACTTCGGGAAATTGCAGACTACCAAAGAAGCACTGTCACTCGAAAGGTCTGCACCTGCTTTCATGTACAGAAATGCATGAATGATAAACAATTGAACATGATTTTTTTGATGATTGTTTGTTATCAGGAGCGATTGTTGATTCTGAAGAAACAAGCAGCACAAATCACCCAGCAGACTCAGAGAGAGAAGGAAAGCTTCCTTAAAGAGCGCACCAACCTAGAGGCAATGTTGCAAAGGGTAGGTAGAGGCTCATATTGTACAATACATAAATACAATCTCCATCTAGCCCTGAATAAGACCATAGGGCAAAACGTACAGGCATATTTTTCGGACTGTACACAGAAAATCATCTCGTCTATCTTCTTTGTTTCCTATGGCCTAGTCCTAGAAGAGTACCTGCTTACATTTTTACATTCCGAAAGATTGATATTGAAGCATTTACATCTAGCTAAGAAACATAGTAGCTACTGTGTCTTCTTATATATACAGTATAAGTATTGTTTATTTATATTTAGGTAAGTAATGTTTATTTATATACTGCCTTTCACAGACCAGAGTCACAAAGCGGTTTAGAATTGTTATTTTTTGGGCATTTGTCCTCTCACTCCACACAGAGTATTTGCTCTTTTGAATTGAAACCAATGTAACTTTATCCTCAATAGGGATCTAAAAAGGGACACAGTGCCACAGTGTGAAATCTTAACTAACGTATATTTCTGACCACAGGAAAAAGAAAACCTTGCGGTACTAGAGAGAAAGTACGCGGATCTGACCGGTGGGAGGAACTTCACTATGAGAGAGGTAAGTGTGAAGGACAGCTGTCAGACCAGAGCGAGCCTCATCTCCTCCTCCTTACGGGACATGGTCTGTAGAGTCTAATGGTTTGGCCTGGGTTTCCTTTCCATCAGGGCACTGTCTCTCTGACTGTTGTGTATCAGTCTTTTAGAGAAAACTGCCTTGACATCACTCCTACCTTACCTCATCCAGCCGACCCATGCCGTCTCTCCTTCCTCCTTTCCTCTCTTTATATTAAAAATACCAAGGTACTGGCATGTTTCCCCCGTTACTGTCTTACTCTTCTCTTTTCCCATTCAAATCTTCCACTGTTGTGAGATTGTTTACCTAATGACCTAATGACATGTAATAGATGTGTAAAGAGTTTGTTAATTAATCATGTTGGAATGTTTTTTCGGATTTTATGTGTTGTAATTAATGACTTGTTGTCTATAACTTAGGGGTTTGTTCACACTGGTTGGTCTGGTTCACTTTAAACAGAGCTGGTTCTCTTGCTTTATGAACATGTGTCCACTTGTCACAAAGGAGCCATATGTAAAAATCTGGCCAAAAGTGGTACTGCAACCTCTTCCACTCTCCCTGATTCAGTTTGCATTTGCATTCGAATCCAGCTAGCACCATTATAGCTGAATAGACAAGAGTATTATCAACAACAAATCTATCTTTTACTCCTTGGATTGTCATTAATAATTTGAGAATCATAACAAGACCTTTTTTTAGTTATGAGGCCACATGTTACTTTACCAGTGAGATTAGCTCGACGCAGTGAGTTCTGGCAACCCGGATCACAGACTTTCTGATTGGTATAACGGTGGAGGGCGATATGTCGAAATGAAAGCGATTACAAGATTTAGGGGCTGTAAATCCAATTTTGAAATTCGGCTGTTATCAGTAAATTAAGTATTTTTAAAAAGAATGGTTTATCAACGCCTTTTGACAGATTAGGGCCATTTAATGATGAATTGACAGGAAAATCTTACATATTGCTACTTTAAAACTGGGGTACTTTATGCTATTGAACCAGACTTGGTACAGTTGTTGAACCAGACCAACAAGTATAAACGTGCCCATAGCTTAATCTCCTAAAATGCAAGCTAACACTAAAATCACAGCCTTTCCTGGTATTGAAATAATGTATTAAAACGTCACACTGGCCACTTGCTATGCTTCACCCTTTTCTGTCTAACCCCTGTTCCCCACGGCACTTTCCAGGGATATGTCACGGTCAGTGAGCTGAATGAGCTTTACTCACAGCTGGGGGGGGACCATAAACCTGCCCCCGCTCCCTCTGACTGTACCGACTCCAAGGCAAACTCCTCCAGTGACGAGGAACCGAGCAAACCCATGGAGGACGAGGTGTGTGGACAAAGTGCTCATGTCTCATAACAAACATACGCCAACCACAGAGATAGAAATATATTTTGCTTGGACATCTTTACCATAAAACAGCTGAAGCATAAAATACAGACTTTCCATTTGCGTTGATAGAAGATCCTCCACAAGAAAGGTTGCATAGTACATCTTTAGTTTCTTGGTAGAAAATGCAGCTTAATTATTAGAATTTGGTTAAATCAAAAACTGGTGTGATTTTTTTTTTTTGAGACACATTTTTTATACATTTTTTCCTTTTAGTTTCCGCCACGGATTCATAAGAACTGGGGTCAAATTTGGCACAAAGTATCAACAGCTTATTAAACGAGCGCGAGGTCTGTATAGAGAAATATCAGACCGCGGCCTTTTTGTACAGACCAAGAAGAAGACTAAAAAGACCAAGGTCTGATATTTCTCTGTACAGACCGAGCAAACGAGGTTAATAAATGTTTTATTATATGACTATTTTTAATTCATGCAAGTATCGATCTCCAACTTGGTTTTTCTAATCATGTTTTTAGCTTTCTGATCTGTAACGAAGTTGTCAATCTCTTCTTGACTGTTAGGAGTTGTGTTTTCATCGTTATTTTATGTTATTACTTCCTCTGGCTCTTCGAAGTCGTCGCTCATTCTTTTTTTTACCGAGGAAAGATATCAAATGTGATACGCGCTGCGGACCAATTGCCATGGTAACGGTCCGAGATGGGATAATGTCAGACCGCAAATCAACCAATCAGAGCGCGCGTACGATCCAAGTCATTTAATAAAACAACATATATCCAAAATCTATATCAACAAACAATTATTTTTCGTGTTATTGCATGATTTGGGTCTATTATGTAATGCTCATATTGCACACAATTGAGGTTCCAAAGAAATCTAAATGACTTTTTGTATTTTTCATGTATTTTTTTGGTTGATAAATGGTATTTCAACATTACTAATATCAATCTGTTTTGAACGTAAACTCTATACAAACACATTGATACATGTTCTGCTTCCATTACTTTTCAACTCTTCTCCACTTTTTCTTGTTTCCAAAGCTTTGTATTTCTTCTTCTCCTGCCCACTGTTCTTCCTCTTCTGAGTTGAGCCCTCCTCCTCGCCCCCTCCCCAAAACCGTGTATTCTGTGCACTGGCCTGAAGTCATGGTGACTTATCGGGATGCCTCCCCCGTCCCAGACTCCCCCCCTCCTCCCCTCCCTGTCAAACAGCACCAGCACCGGCACAGGCAGGTAATGGTGATGTGTGTGAGGGCCACGAGCTTGACTTGTCTTTCTGCATACTGCCACCAGATGGCAGCAACAAGCCTTGTCATATAGTGGAAGTCGTTTCAAAAAGTGTATTGTAAATTATAAAATATGTGGGTGTTTTTTGTGCAGCATTTCCGTTTGCTGGAGGAGAGGAAAAGGTTTGATAAGGACAGTGGTTCGCACCTCAGCGACACTTTACCCAGAAAGAAAACCTCATGTGCGGCGCCACAGTTTACATTTGCAACCCTGGGGAGGAGCTTTCCCACTAAGGTAGACACAGGCAATTATCCTTGTCAATCAATGGTTATTCCTCTAGAGCAAAATATTCTAATAAAAACCCAAATGTTTTTTTTTCCCCCAGGCTCATCAGCCCTTAGTGCAGAGTACAAGCTGCGGCAGCATCCTCCCGAGAATCTTTTCCTTATCCAGCAAAGAGACAGAATCTCGGCGTCTTCACAAAGGTATAATTAGATTTTACATTCTTCTACTTGTTCTACCACTGTTGCAAAAGGCGTAAAGGGGGGAAGGTTTCTCATTCCAAAAAAGTGCATCTCTCCACAAATTCCATCACTATCTCCATTCTGGACACTCATTGTAGTCTACTTTCTCACAGTTCTATTATTATTATTATTATTATTATTATTATAACACTTTGACTGCATTCATTTGTCCAGAGTCTATTAGGGGTTGCATGAAGGTATTGGCAATATCATGGTCATTTTACTGTTCTTTTTAGACTGGTAACATCGTCCTTGTGTCTTTGTGTCCAATGAGTCTTGATGGTCCTCATTAGAAGGGTGGGCTCAGTGCAGTCGGCAGATGCTATCAAAGCTGTTTGTATATAACGTGTAGAGTGGATTCTTCCTGTCCATGTGAAAATAGTCTTGTCTTGAAGGCAATAGAGCTCCTCAGGCTTTTGGAAAGGTTAGACATCTGTACCTGCGTTCTAGTTTTTCTCCCAATTGAGCATATTGGATTGATTTTCATTGTGGCGGGGCACTGTGAGTTAGAAATCCAACCAGATGAGCAAGAAATGGTCCCAGGAGGTAAAGTCTATGATTACAGAAGAAGTTTTGACTGGAATCATTTCTGTTTCTTTTCATGTTTTAGGTCAGCCTGGCTCCAGAGCAGCTTCTCAGACCAATGTCTACCTCGACGGCTTTGGTTATCGAGACCAAGCCTTCGACACGATGAGTGTGGATAGTACGGACTCCATAGAAACCAGCATTTCTGCGTGTTCTCCTGATAATGTATCCAGGTTAGTATGTTAACAGGGCAATGTTAGTTATTCAACACTTTTCAGTCCTGAGACGGTCCCAAAGTCCAGATATGGACATTTTTTTGGTGTTATTGGGTTAAAAACATTATGAAAACCAATGTAATGGGAAAAACACAAACAAAGAAGATGAATCAGATCTCAAAGTGATTTTCCTTTTCTGAATGTGTTGAATATGTTTCTATTTTCATGTATTAAAAATCTGAGGTTCAATATGGCAAAAGAGGATTCAATGATAATCGGACTTCGGGACAAAATGAACAGGAGTTAATTGAAACGGCCTGTGGATAGCAGAGGTGTCCCTCCTCTTCCTGGTCCGTCCTCTGAGAGCAGGATTTGTGCTCTGACTTGGCAGACTCTTGATTAGTGCTTAAAGGGTCAAGTTACGGAAGACGGTGAACTTGAAAATTTGAGTGTGTAGCGACGGTTTTCATGCCTCTCGGGGACATACGTCTATCTACACAGACACTAAAAATGATGAATAGTTAAAGTATCTCTCTTGGGTTGTGCTCTGATTGACGGTTTTCTTGTTTGTGCTGTGAACATGAAGGCTAGCTAATTTGATATATGGACGGAAACACAATGCACATGTGGGTACACAGGCTCAGCCCCTGCAGGATCAGGGAGATTTAGAATTGTGGAGGTACATTTGGGGGTCCGGCTCGCGTCCGGACTCAAAACATGTGTGCGTTCTTTCATTCTTTTCTTTTTACGCCTGTTACATCTTTCTTTTCATCTCCCCCTTTTTCTGGCTCTGAATGGTTTGGTCTGCAGATAGATTTTTAGCCCAGTATTCAAACTATTTGCAGGCGGTCAGTTTAGAAAGAAATGGAGGGAATAAGAGAAGGAATTTGTCTTGTCTGTAGTTTAGTTTAAATTCTTTGATAAACTTAAGATACTATAGAATGACAATGAGTGCTGTTGCTCTTCATCACATACGGTAAGAGACTGTATTATTGCTTTGGTTTGCATGAACAAGTACAACGAAAAGTAAATAAAACACTGAGATGTGATTGTGAGGAGAATAGAATGCATGGAAATAAATCACTCAATCATTGCATTGAATTAATTGTAGCAGCTGGACTTTTTGATCACTGAGCAAGAGGTTGAAAGCAAGAAACATATTCTTGCTTGACTTGCTCTGATAATCATTTGTTCTTGTTCAATCTGTTTCATTATTATTTCTCCGACCCACTTTCCTGGTTTGTTTGGAGTGTGTTCTATGTGTACCATTCATCTAAAATATGTAGTGACACTGTTAAAACAACATGGATTCCAATTTCCTTTGGGCTCCAGATGAAAAGAACTTTGTGTATGCTGTGCTCGTGCATTTGCATCTTGTCTTGGCTGAAAAACTGAAAAGTCAAGCAGCAATAAAAAGAAAAGGGGGAGAGCTAATTGTGACCTGGCAGCGAGACAAAGCAACGTCTTTAGAAGCTGGAAATAGACTGACAGTTCATTCATTGTCTTGGACTTTCAAAAATGATCCATCTTCAGAGTTTATAATGCACATGCGGTGTTTTCGATGCAGTGCCAGCACGTCCAACATGGCTAAACTGGAGGAGATGGAGCGAATGCTGCGAGAGGCACAGGCTGAGAAGCACCGTATGCTAGAAAACAAGGTAAAGATCAAAGCAGTAAAAACTGAAGTATGTCTTGAAAGATGCTTTAAGGGGTTACAATGTGTGTGCTTGTCAAACACATTGTAGGTGCACACATTGGGCACCTAACTTTATTTTCCTCATAAATATTCTATGTTGATTCTTCAAGAAAAATAACGTCTTGTAAAAGTTTGTGAATAAATCAGACCACATGCTGTTTTCATTTTAGTAGAAAACATGTATTTGTCAGAACATGCTGATCTATATTTGCATGTTTTTGAACGGGTTTATCTACGTTTCTTATGATATTCCTCGTACTTCTTTATACATCTACAGTTAGGCATTTGACCCAGATAATATGGTTTCATTTGATCAGATGTTGTTGTTATGTTGATGTCAAAGTGTGAGCTCAACTTATCTGAGAAAATGTATAGAAAGTATTTTACCACAATAGTAAATATATATTTCAGGTGATATCTGTAACATTTATGTGCCTCATCCTTTTTGCTTGATTAATATAATGCAAATACAACTTGCACATTATGTCATGCCTCGACAAAGGGTTAGTCCAGCCAAACTAACAGCCAGAACAAGGGCAACACAGCACCTACTGTATATTTCAAATAAAACCATGTATCATTTGGCTTTCACATCACAGTTGTCTGTTGCTTTGTGGTGGTCCTTCAAAACATGCCAACGTTTAAGTTGTATTAGAACCTTTAAATGCCACTGTGTATTTAAACATGTATTGATGCAATGGAAGTTTAAGTTTTGTCTTGTTATTATCTAAAAGGAACAAGAAATGGAAATGCGAAAGCAGGCCCTGGATGAGGAGCGGAGGAGGAGAGAGGATCTGGAGAAACGACTGCAAGAGGAAACCAGCCGACGACAGAAACTTATCGACCGAGAAGTCAAGCTCCGAGAGAAACAGAGGGCACAGGTGAGAATACATTAGAATACATTTGCCACTTCAGGTCACAGCTGAACCTTTGAACATGTTGTCCCTATTCTTTCACTTTACCTTAGAATATGATCTACTGTGACTTGCAAACGTACTAATACAAAAGGAATGTTTGCACATGTTTATGACAAGTGTATGGCATGTGCAGTGTTGGGCACGTTACTTTGAAAAAGTAATTAGTTATAGTTACTAGTTACTTCTCCCCAAAAGTAACTGAGTTACTAACGGAGTTACTCCACTATAAAAGTAACTAGTTACCAGTAAAAGTAACTATTGCGTTACTTTTTCGTTTTGTTCTGGAACATAATGTGCACTCGACGTGCGCATTTTTACCTTTAACCTCAGTGAGTCGGAAAGATCAGCACTATTTCAATCTAGAAAAGGCTGTTTTGCTGCTGAAGTCCTGTTCACTCTCCATCTCTCTCTGTGCTGTAAGCACTAAACACCAGCACCCGCCACTGTGAATGTGGAAACACCGGTGAAGCACTGACTACAGCCCAATCAGATGAACATATATATATCATATAAATCAACTGGACAGTTTGTTTGGCTACAGCAAAATATGTTTCATGCCCGCATTGTTTGTTCATACAAAACGCAAAACTATGAGTTATGGGTCTTACCTTATAAATGTCACAGTCGTTTATAAGGTAAGACCTCGACAGTCCACTTCAGTTCAGACCAGTTCCGTGTTTAAGTCCAGATAATAGTTTGAGCGTAGATATGTAATCCTCCATTTGGAAATGAGTCCCATGAGTTTTAAAAAGTAAAGCAAAACGCGTGTCTCCTCCATAAACTCCTCTGTTTTGCTGCAGCCGGCTGCATCTAATTTCTAAAATCAACCGTCTTACACTTCACCTCTCTTTCTTATCATTCCTATAGTCATTGAAATATAACCCTAAGTGCATTTTAAATTATCTTAAAATGTGTTATATGTATGTTAGCCAAACCTGTTGCTGTCCTTAGCAGATAAACCAGGAAGAGAAAGGAGCTTATCGATGGAATTGTATGCAGCCAACTTCTGGACTCACATGCGCTACTCTGAAGCTGGCCTCACGGTGATACAAGCCGTGGTTGAGCGCGATTAAGACCCATATTTGTTTTAAAAACATAATTTATGAGCCATCCTCTCAAATGTAGACATGTAGATTGTAAAGGAAATATGATTTACATAAGCCAATAATTGCTGAGAGGTTTTCTCATCCTCCCTTCTCTCACGACAACACGCGCACGAGTCCTATCACAAAGTAAAAAGAGAAGTTCATTGTGCGTCTTGAGTAACGCGCAGTAACGGGATGTCGGAAATGATAACGGCGTTATAGTTACAGTCAAAGTAATTAGTTAGATTACTCGTTACTGAAAAAAGTAACGCCGTTATTCCCATCACTGGGCATGTGGCAGTACTTTTGCGACCCATTTCATCTACTGTTCAGATGTTCAAGCCAAAGATTTTACATAAACGTGAGCTTTCACCTGTCTCAATAGAAGAAAGAGGCTGTATTTTATACTATTCAAATCAAACACACAGGCGTATTTGACTGTAGAAGGAGTGGAGTAGACCTCAGTGCTAACATCACCTATATCACAATAAAAAGCAGATTATAATAAACTCAAACATGCTTCAATGAGTGGGATATGGAGCCAAATTACCCTCAACCAAAGGGACAGAAAGCACCTGATTGGCCAGCTGTTAGGGGACATATTTGGATTTACAACATTGTCCATTCCTATATACTGTACATTTGAACTCTTGCTTCCTGTCCGCAGTCTCGGCCTCTCACGCGCTACCTGCCGGTGCGTAAGGATGACTTTGACCTGCGCTCACACATCGAGTCGGCCGGACACCACGCGGACACCTGCTTCCACCTGTCGCTCTCGGAGAAGACGTGTCGCGGGTATCTGGTCAAGATGGGGGGCAAGATCAAAACCTGGAAGAAACGCTGGTTTGTCTTTGATCGCAATCGCCGCACACTCTCCTACTATTCAGGTAGAATTTCCATCAATTGGCTTCCACAGTAATGTCAGATCTGCTCTCTTTGACTTCTTCAGCCGTAACATGTTTTTGGTGTTTTTGCAGATAAACACGAAGCTAAGCTAAAGGGCGTCATTTACTTTCAAGCTATTGAAGAAGTGTATTATGACCATTTAAAGAACGCACACAAGGTGAGTTTGAAAAGTTATTGTTCATAGAAATGATTAAAAATTAGTAAGTTCATCCTGATTTTACATATATTGTCCACACACAAAAAATTATACATTGTAAAAAACAAGATTTATCAAAATGACATACAATTGTGAATAATGTTCTTGATTACAGCGATCAAGATTTGTTATACTTAAATTCAGAAAGAATAATGGGCAAATAATGTTACAACTTGTGTTTTTTGTTTTTGTATGTTTTTTACATTATGCTCAGGAATTCAAGTTTTTGTCAGTTTTAACTCAGTCTATTGACTTTAGCAGTGCACACTTTGTCACCCCTATTAATGCTGGAGTACCTTGTTTGTATTAATACATTTTGTTTGTCCTAATATTGTGTGAAAATGCTGATCTTAAGATGTGACAGAAACCAGAAATAACTACTAATAACGTGAAGTTGTGATAGAACCAAACTGTTTGTGCCCCAGCTTTAATTTGAGCAGAAATTCAATGCTTTGATTAAAAACATATTTGAAAAGCGTGTGTTATTTTAGTGCAGTACATAATACTAAATAAAACGTATTATTTATAATGTTAATTGCCCCTGTTTCCACATAGAGCCCAAACCCGTCTCTGACCTTCAGTGTAAAGACCCACGACAGAGTGTACTACATGGTGGCTCCGTCCCCTGAGGCCATGAGGATCTGGATGGACGTGATTGTGACCGGAGCAGAGGGCTACACTCAGTTCATGGTGTGAACTATTCAGAGCTTTTGGATTAAAGAGGCAAATGTTTATGCAATTTATTATGTCTATATATATATATTTATATATATAATTGTATACATACTGACCAATGTATAGCTAATAATGACAATACATCTTCAATTATTATAACCTAGTTATTTCAATTTGGAGAAATACTGATAATAATTGGAATTGAAGGGCTAACTTTTGCTCGTACCTTAAGGCTGCAACCTTATATATAATACATCCATGGCTGCAACAAACAACTGTTTCCGCCACTATGCCAAATATTGCCTATTTTTAAGCTGTCAATTTTATGTATACATATTTTTTGGCTCTTTTTTATGTGTTCTTTGTACAAGTTACTCTGCTGTCTAAGTAACATTCTTTACTTCATTTAAACTACATGGTGCTAACTTATCCAAACATCTGTGCTTCCAGAAGACGAGTTGTAATCAGTGTCATATGTTTGGATGAGCTCTTTTGTTACTCTCACACATTCACTTTACCTTTTAATATTGCACAATGTCCCACTCTTTGAAGTTTATCCTTAAGAGATGCAACTTTGTAAACACAAAAAAAGAGAAGACATTTGGGTACTGTACACAAACGTTGTATTTTTGGTTCTTAATTTCAATGAATTGTCTTCCCGAACACCAAACACACTTGTGCCTTAAATTGTCGGTCTTCAATAATAATGTATGTCCAGCACAGTTGGCTGCATCACACTCTGTTGACCAAAGTTTTATATTGTATGTACATTTGGTTTTGTTCTTTAAATATTGAGTATTACATCCATGTGTAGGCCTCATGTGCGACGTATTATAAGGACATTTTCACCTTAAAACAAACAAGGACTTTATTTTATAGGCTTTACTTTAAACTTTCTGTATTTATGACTTTTATAATGCATGTTTTATATCTAAATAAAATGTAGATTGTACTTTTTAAATTTAGTTTGACTGTGTTTTGTTTTATATAAGAATAACAAGGGGAATTGTAGTATATGTTCTTTTAACCATGATGCATGACCAACAAGCATGTAGGCTCTCTGCCGAAAATACAGCGCCCTCAAGCGGCACAAGTTGGACAATGACATCGTGACTTTGTCCATTTCAAATCAAGGTTTTTGACTACACTGTATTAAGGTACACATTTTGTTCTGACAAAATAGAGACTCATAATTAAAGCTGCATTCATTGTAGTGAGTTTATAATACACCTGCCCCACAACAAGCCAACACACACATTTCCATGTTTAACCAAATAACCGGGGATTTTTTTCAGCTTCGTTTTCTGAAGTTACACCCTCTCCATAAGACCACAGATCCGGGTCCAGCATTGTCTATTGTGTGCTGTCAACCTCACAGCTGAATACAAGAAAAACAAGTACACCAAACAACTGTGAAGATTACATTCCTCCTTGCGCAATGTGGAAACCATACTGGAAACCCATCGCATTTAGTGTATATGTGTATACTGTCATGTGTTTAAGTTGCCAGATAATTCCATACCACCGTGGTAATGGTGTCATTGATTCTGTTGTGGTGAGGCTATTTATAGAATGCGTCTCTCTTGGGCGAACACCCCCCTTTAGTTTCTCGTGCGCCTGTTTCTTTAAGGTCTCGGTTGTAATTTGATCACTATGGAGAAGCGAGAGAGAGAGAGAGCACCCACCAGCAGCACCTCCAAAAAATCAACACTCATCCCCCAGCCCTCCCTCACCCTCCTCCCACCTCCAGTCATTTCACAAATCGAACGTCGAGCTGCGTGTGACCTGCCTTCGCCGCTGCGCGCTGTCGATGGATGAGACGCGTTCGTTGGGGGTATGTTTGGGTAGATGGGACTGGTGGTAAACAACAGCAGTGGCTCGTCGCTCCCCCGCGCTCCCTACAAGTTGCGCTGATCTACATGTTCAGATCTATGGTTCAGATGCGAGTGAGAAGAGCCGATCTGTCTGTGCGCGCCGTTTATCCAAAATGACTCGAAATGGCTACAGCGGCTGCCATCGTGCGCAAACACCTTCTGCACGAGCAAAGACAACCAACCCCGCGGAGATAGTGAAAGTGATCGCCCAGTCTTCTTAATGCAAGTCTCAGGTAAGCTTCGTGCTGGTGTTGGTGCATGTGTGTGCGTGTGTTTGAGCAGGCCAGTCTTGTTTTGGATGCGTTACCCCCTCTATCATTCCATTAGCAGCTGCTGGTTACAGACAGCGCGCTGCAATGTGAACCGATGCCTTCTTCCAACGCGCTCTCAAATCTGTACGGGGGACTGTGTAACGCAACGCGCAAGTGATGCACATACTTGACATATCGTATGCAGGTGGTGCCATTGGGCTGTCATTTCCTGGTCATAAACGACGCAGGGACTACTCTGGTCTTACGCAAGCGCATCACCTCACTTGGCAGTTGTCGTTATGCGTATCAGATGGTAGGAAACTGGTATAACTTGCTTCCAAGAACACAAATCAGAGTCATGGCCGGTAATCTGATTAGGTTTTCACTGGAAATGTATGGTTATGAAATTATTATATGTTATATAGTTTGGATTGAGTCATTGGCCTACATTGGCTGAGTTAATGTTTATAATCTACTATCAACTTCAAACTGAGTTCATTCAGGACAGAGTTTTTGGCCTCAGGGTTACTGTCCTGTGTCCTTGCAACTAGTTGTCCTTGAGCCTGTTTCGTCACAATGTATAATTGCAGCAACGTCTTAAAGTTTATTCTATCAAACTCATTTCAATCCTTTAGAGGCTAGCCCAAAGAGAGTAAAGCAGGTATAGATGTTTAAATTGCTCTGTTGCATTCATGCACCGCCCTCTCTCATTGGCCACAGTTGACCTCTGGCACTGCTGGAACTTGGTCGTGTCCCAGTCCTGCTGCTATTATTGGTTCATTTATAGGGGGCTCTGAACTAAATATTAGGACTATATTTTCTGACCTACAATGGACAATAAATTGTGGGGTATTACTATACTAATACTATACTATACTAGTACCCCATTAATACTGTTTACTAATGGGGCTGGATTTCATTAATAACGTTGTGAGTAAAAATGCATTTTATTTTATTATCATTATTATAGATTGTGGGGAGTAAACACATGGATAAACGAGAAAAAAATTAAAGTGAAATGGACACAAAAAATGAAATGAAAATGATAAGCATCTTCAAATGATACTGTGTATATGAGACTGTGTATATGAGACTGTGTATATGATACTGTGTATATGAGACCGTGTATATGATACTGTGTATATGATACTGTGTATATGATGCTGTATATATGATACGCATGATACTGTGTAGGCCCACTGATACTGGACCTCAAAAGAGCAGTGCGTACATTATGGCATAGAATTCACCCACTTTTTAATTTAACCTTTATTTAGCCAGAAAACCCTGATAGAGATTAAACATTTCAGAAACACAAAGTGTCCTGGACCTACCACTGACAGACTTCTGTAAGAAAAAATATAGCATAACCTCTTGGCTCTATGTTTTTTTGTGCAGTTTTGAATATATATTTCTTAACATAATAAAGTTGATTGTTTCTATATTTTAACACTGTTACTACTTTTATGGATGAAATGTGTGCATCTAAAATATAGAAAGACCTTAAAGGTCAGGCATATCTTTTTCTGACTGCAGCCACGACTGACACCTGCTCCGAGACCACTGTCAGAACAACAGTCTCTCGTCTCCATTTGAAAACGTCTTTCATTGTCTTAAGTTATTTTGTGTGTTCAACTGTATGTGTCACTACTGTAAGCTGTAGTTTACAGCATACAGTAGTGACACATACAATTCAAATTATTAAATTATTAAACATGTTTTTGATGCAGTGACCAATCAGCATTTACCTCAGAAAATAGTTTATATTTGTTGAATTAGTTTATAGTTGACTGCTTCTGCATCTGCTGTTGTTGAACATTTACCTGGCTCTTCAGCAGCTCGTTTTTATCCATGTTCTTAGTAGATTAGTAGATAGTAGATAAACAGACTGGCTGATGTTATGATTGGTCCAAAACTCCATCGTGTGATGCCCAGTTTGCCAAAGTCAGCATGAACATGTGCTAATCTAGTTGAACTCTTTTCCGTTTACAGTGAAGTTGGGTGGCCATGGACCCATTCAGCCAACTCATCCTCACCATTTCGGTGACAAGTTTCTTCTCCTTCCAGTGGCTTTTCCACAGAGTCAGCCCCTGGATGTCACTGCGCATCAGTCCAGGATTCATCAACCTCACTGACAAGCAGAGGGTGGAGTGGAACTCAAGGTAACATCCAAGACGTCTCATGCTTTTATGGAGTGTAACAGTTCCGTTCTGATCCATCCACCTGCTTTTCTGGTGTTGTTTAATCATCCTGTGGAAACATTATGGATCCATAGGGGTTTACTCTTGGAAAATTGACTCACTGCAATAATCAATAATCTACAGTTTATCTTATCAGCAATTATAGCGATAAATTATTGATAAACTAAGCTATAGTTTATCAGTAATCAGCTGCATGTCCAGGCTCATGGACTCTGGGGACAGTGTTATCATGTTCCTGGTTGATCCGGCGCTGAGTTCAGTGTGGTTCTTCTCCGGTTTGTGTGCTCACTGGTGTGGGAGTCCCAGCCGAGCCTGATGTTTTTGACTCTGGCTGCGTTAGTGCATTTCTAAAATTGAAAGCAGGATTTATGAGCCCACATATAATATTATTGAACTGTGACTTTACCTACATGGTCTGGCTTCTTAACTGATGGCTCAGCAAGGCTCAGTTTGTCTGGGAGCTGGCAGCGTGTGACCATGGAGCAGTGTTTTATCTTTCAGTCTAAATGGTTTCAATCTTTGACACTCTCACAGGCAAACAACTCAATCACAAAACTCCAACTGGATTATCATAATCATCCAACTGTTCAGTGTTGTCTTTGAACCTGCTGACCACTGTCTCTTGTATGTTTCAGGACAGTGTCGACCTTTCATGCTCTGTTAGTGGGGCTGTTCTGTCTCTACATTTTATTCTTTGATGATCCCGTCAATGAAGACCCAGTCTGGTGAGATTTTTATACTTGTTTGTAAAAACACTTTCAAACAACTAACAAAATAACTATGTAAATTACAGGGGAGATCCTACATTAGTGAAGACTAATGTTGCCATCACAACAGGCTACCTCATTTCTGGTAAAAAAAAAAAATGTCTCATACATGTTTTTGTAATTGTAAAGTCTAATTTGCACAATTACTTTTTCAACCTTTGTATGTTTTTTCCAGATCTGCTGCTAATATTTTACTATTGGAACGCGATAGGCGACAAGTTTTTTGTAGTTCACCATCTGGCAGCTTTGTATGCTTACTACTATGTACTGGTGAGTGCCCTATGTCCAATAGCAATATGTGCAGGCAAGATGGGAAGGAGACAACCAAAAGTGAGCAGCTCTCTCCTTACATTATGATGCACTGGCTGAGCTAATAGTACATGAAGGTAAGCTAAGGGCAAACTGCACATGTTAGAGCGAGTGTTGCTGGAAGTTTTGAGATAGCATTGTTTTTTTCCACTATAATTAAGTGACTAGAACATACTGTAGTTGTCAGGTAAAACAAAGAATCTGAGGTGTGCTTTTCATGATTTGATTGGGATTGTTTAGAGATTGTTTGACAATTGGCATACAGTATTTGATTGAACCATGTGAGCTTATACACACACATCAGTTGCCTGTCACATAGTTTTATGGTTGATAGATGGTTCATCCAAAGTGGGGGAAAGACGTGTAGTGAGGGCAGTGCAGCTGTTCACTTTTGGTTTTATCTTGAACCCTTCAGGTCAATGAGGATATATGCTTCAATGAAGACAATGAATGACTTTGGTATTTTTTGCATGGAATGCTCAATGATGGTCCTGGCTGAGTCTGCCCCCTCCTCACCAGTTTCTGTGCTTCTTACTTTGAGAGTGGGCCCTTTTGTTGTCGCTAACTTGAAGTGAGCTGAACGTGTCCGAGCTATGGCCGTTGTGAGCATGAAGCACTGTTTGCAGATAGCGTTTTCTTTTGTGCATGATAACAATTCTTAACCTACTTACACATTGTTCTGCCTCGTATCTTCAATGCCTTTCTTTTTTGTGCCAGGGACAAGTGCGATCAAATTGTATCTTTTCACACTGTTGATATAACAACTGAACCAAAATCTTACTTGACAAATAAGTCATTTAAACATTTTGAAAAGTCCTGTTGCTGGAATACCCTCCTGAGTGTGCATTGGTCTTCCAAGCTAAAAGTTAAATTTACAACCTATTTCTATTTGTTTGATCTCCATTAGCTGTGACAAGTACAGCTCTTGTTTCTGGAATCAGTCATATCAATAACAACAACCTTGCATTCTTTATAATATCTATCCCACTGATGGAGAGAGCGAGCACCTGTATGTACATGGATAGTACATGATAGGTCGGCCATACTGTTACTGGACACTCATCACTGTTTCTTCTGACCCACATCTGTTATTTTCATTTAATTTTCTGCACAGTCAAATGTGTCATTTCTTGTCAGAGTTTTGGTTAATATGTCAACTGTGTGTGTGTGGTAATGTTTGTTAATATGTAACCTCTTTCTAAACATGAGGCACAACTCCTCAGTCTGCTACTAAAGAAATAAGCTGTGTTGCTGTTAGTATAGAGTGCATTAATGAACCACTAACCTTTGTCTTTCTTTCTCCCTGTGAATTTCTATAACATTGTTTTTGAAATACATAAGTAATTGCTATTTAGGCTTTTGCATGCTTCTATCAATGTTAGAAGTGTGTTGCATCTTAAGTGGCACCCTTTTTGTGTTCTCAAAGAAGTACATCTGTCTGTCTCTGTGTCTCTGTTAACTTTAACATAAAAACGCCCCCTTTCAACCCCATATGCAAAAAGTACCACATACATATTCATGCAAAAACTACCAGACGAGTTTGAGTCAGTTAACTGGGCATATCGCATTGATCTAGAAGGGGAACGCTCTATTCCTTCCTTGTCTGCTGTTATTGCTGTTGTGTTGCACTGAGCAGATATGATGCCCAGTCACAGTATGGACTTACCAGTTCCTAGAGGTATTAGCATGGAAATGCTAGCACTGTAAACAAGGTATAATCATGTTGTCTTACCTTGTAATAAGTATGTGTCACACAGGACTTTTGTTTTAGGTCTGATGGTAAGTATCACACACGTCACACAAACTCCATTGACTGTAAATGGCATCGTGACTGTACAGAGCCACAGATCTGAGATATCACATACGCTGAACCCACATGTGCTTGTCTTCGGCTACAATTTCTGTGGGGTTGCTAACTTATTTGTTGCCATGGAACAAAAATATGATCTCTGAAATGCTGCTCAGAATTACTTTTTTCTTTAAAAAAAAAAAAGTTTGAATAACACATAACAAAAATGATGACCTACAGTAGAATCGTGTAACATTAAGTATGATTAGATTGAATTTACCACGTGTTGTTGAGCAGTAATTGGAATCTTGCCCCCAATATAAACATATCTGGTGGAGCCGTCAGGTCGGCTTGACCCACAGGTTGCCAGGTGTGAATCTGGCTCCCTTCAGAGAATGATGCTGTTGTGCCCATGCAGGGGAGCCCCGGGGACTTTCAATCAGTACAAAGATATTCCATTTGAACATTTTTCAGAAAGGGCCTTTCATTTGAGAGATTGTGGTCTGTTCTCTGCGCTCTGAAGTTTTGTGGATAAAAAAAACAAAAACAATTTTAAGAATGTCAGTTCAATGTTTTGATAAAGAATACAACTTTCATACAGTATGTAAAATGCACTCTATTGGTCTAATGAAGGCCTAACAATTACAATCCCCAGAACCTTACTGCCGGTGAAACATACACATACTGATGTAATCCACCTGCTGGAGTCTAGCATTGCAAACTGCTTATTTTTGTATCTGCTTCCATTCATACACATGTATGATGCTATTGTGTGCTTAAAAAAAAGATGGAGCCAAGAACAGCTTCATTTCCCCTTACAATCTGCAAATGAGGGCCTCATTCTGCTCTCTTATTGGATAATCTGCTTGAAAATAGTTAACATCAATATTATGGGCATCATGTCCATTGTGTGTAACAATGGACATGATGAATAACTCTGGGAAAAGATATAAAGGATATGGCTGTCATCTCAAATTGAAATATTATTATTACATTCTTCCCTTATTAATTCAAAGGGAAGTCTAGATTCCAGATGCTAAACACAACACATATTTAAATGGATACAATTATGTTTCCAGATTCCCAAATAGTTTGCTCTGAATGGTGGCCTTCAATTTTCCATGAACAGCTTTAAAAAGGGTCTTTAAAATGGCCTGACCAAACCTGGGGCTACCCTGCTTTGAGCGAGACACGCCTTGTCCCCAGCTATGGCTGTATAATTGTAGAAAAGTGCTATATAAAAGTTCAAATTAACTTTAGGGGAGAGCGTCAACACAACACAACATTTGGTTGCAGAGACAAATTTGTATTTGTCACTTTCATGTGTGGTCCTCTCCTGTTTTTATCTCAATCTTCCAGGGTGAAGGAATGTTGCCTTATTTTGCAAACTTTCGCCTGTTAGCGGAGTTCTCCACACCGTGTGTGAACCAGCGGTATGTATATGAGCTCAAATCCACTGCTTCATATAATGATAAATACTGTGATGCCTTTGCGTTTCAGTTGGTTCTTTGAGGTCCTAGGATACCCAAGGTCCTCTCCACCCAACATGGCCAATGGCGTTGCCATGGCAGTGATGTTTTTCCTGGTCCGCATCGCTGTCATCCCGGTGTACTACGGACGCATGTACACAGTGTATGGCACCGAGGCCTTCTACCTGGTGCCCTGGGGCGGCCGTGTGGCCTGGATCGGCTCCAGTATTTGTTTGGACATTATGAACGTCATGTGGATGCACAAAATTGCACGGGGCTGCTACAAAGTGCTCCGTTCAGCACAAATGAAAAAAGCAGAGATTTTACAAGAAAATGGAAAATCAGCATAAGAATTCTTTGTCGCTGTTGGAACAACAGCATAAACTAATGGAATGTAAAAGGAGGATGTCTTACGTTTTCCACGGACACACATGTATGTGAATGGACCGCTGACCCGGCCAAACAAAAGCCATCCAGCGACCTCTCAGCAATACTCTGCACGCCCAGCTGTTTCTGTAACAAGAGGTTGTAGACTGTGGACTTTACCTAAAACTCACAGCTCGTCAAAACGTTTACGATTCTTAATAGTGCTTTTAATATATAGAATCAATTTCAACGTCAGCTTTTCTATTCTCATGATCACCTGTCTGTCCACACGTCTGGTGTGCGGGGGCTTCCCAACACTCATGTTGGAGTCTGAGTGAGCCTTCAAATGGTCAGTGCCATGAAACACTTTCCCCACTGTCTTCAAGCTCATATCTATTCTGCTCAGATGAGTAGTGTCAACAGAGCAAATTTCATTTGAAACACTAATTATATTTTGTTTGTTTTTATAATTTGTATGATTCTTGCCTTGCTGGGATCAAGGCTTTACATAATAATTGTCAACAATGATGATTGTGATAATAAAAATAATAATAATGATAAGTATAATGGCAATGCTATTTTCTAAAAATGGAATGAATCCAACTGTGAAACCAAATATGTCCAAATAGAAATGACCTATATCATTCTATTTAAAAACAAGTGCATATTAATTCATAATTAATATGCGTAATTATTATTGTTCAACCCAAAACATAGCTATTGTTTGTCAGAACTTATAGACAAAGATATTTCACATTGTTGAAATGGCTCAATTGACCACATTGTGTATAAAGTGGTAGGTCTGTGCCTGCAGTGAGCATTGTTCATGGTACCTGCTCGGTGTGGGATGTGTGACAAAGAGAGAGATGTTTTTGCAAACTGCTCGGTTGCCTTTTGGACAGTTTTTGTCACTCTTTTTCATGTGCTTTAGCTTTTGCTGTCTAATGTGATTTATTTATTATGGCCTTTGTTATTGACCGTTTGAAATGTACTTAGTGGGCATTTTGGGTACATGTATTTTCCATTTCACATGTTTGTTTTTGTATGTTTTTCTGAAAAATACCGTATGTCACTGCTAACTTGAGGCTGGAGTTGTGCACTTCTACTCTGGCAGCATGTGTTCTTTAACTTAAACACCAAGATGGAAATAAATGAATAATTAATATTCTCATTATTATTATTCAATATTAATTCAATGAACTCCTTGTTGACTGAAAAGGCAGAGTTCCAGGACACAGGACAGCTGTGCATGGTCAGAAGGTCCTCTTCTCTAACTGCATGTTGTATTGCATGACATTGCACTGTAAACCTGTTGCATATTTTTCAATGTTTATGGATTTTTATACTGTGCCAATATTACAATGTAACCCATGAATGCTAGAAAGCATAATCAAGCTGATCTTAATAGAATACACACATGATCGATGAAGGGAATACTTGAATAATCAGCACGGTTTTGAATAATGTGGGATGTTGGAACAGACACATCGTTGGCATTGTGTGCTAAGATTCCGTCTCTAATTTATTAACCCAATGAAAGGCAACATGTCGGTGCCTCTTGAATGCACAGCACGGGTTTATGCTGTGGCTTTTATTTTGAATGTTTTCTGATAAAGAGAGATGTGAACTGGTGGATGCTAAGTGACATTCTATGAATGTACGTACACAACAAAGTATTTGTTATATACATTCTCACTTGTAATAACAATAAATATATGAAAACATGTGTGTCTACGGTATTGTTTTTCCGGGGATGTTTCCAACTTGAAAGTGAAAAACTGAAAGATTGAGCTCTATTTGAGAAACCAAAAGGACAACATATTTGATTATTACAAGGGAAAAACATAACGTGTCAACAATTCAATTATATATAGTTCAAATTGTTATCATGGTTACCACCTGTCTTATAAAACACTTTACTGAGAAATATGGAATTGTACCACACTTTGTCCACAAACTATGGACAAAGTTCAGGACTATTATCAGGCCTGCATGTGCCTTATCTAAATCCCCACACTAATTATGGTGAGAAGATTTTTTTATATCATTAGAGGCCCTAAAAGTGACGTTCGATTCTAAATATATCTGCATTATCTCTTCATGTTTCCTCCATGAGAATCTTGACTTTAGAGTTATGCTGTACATGAAGCAGACAGACTGGTCCTTCAGGAACAAGTGGTGAGTGGCCCCAGGGGCCCAACCCTTCCCCAGTTAACACCAGGAGGAGTTTCTGGACTGGCCCTCATAGGCTGAGTTTACACGGAGACAATGTGGCAGTAAAACGGTATAGTTGGATGTCGGTTGCTACCAACCGTTCATACGAAGACTGTGTTTCAGGGGGGTGAAAACGTAAGTGTTCAGATCCAGCCTGCAGAGTGGGACAACTGTGGCCCTGTTTATACTGAGACGCTGCGCAGACGTTTCCAGGCTATTAACAGAAACGACCAGGCTCTTAATGCAAATTTCTCTGCGTTCACATGAGGTTGAAAAACTATGTAGTTCTAGCGCCCGGCCAGTAGTGGGCAGAGAAACTTTACAACACTCACACGACCCCCAGCCCCGTGTCCAGCCCCCCTCCCGGCAGCGAGTATTTTATTCTGCCGGCGCGCTGAACACGTCACTTCAGACTAGCTTTCTGATTGGCTGAAATCGGTCCCTGTGGCAGAACCATGGATGTGGGCAGAACCTACCTACGAATAAAATACTCGCCTCCCGGCAGTATATTCACTTCCTGTTAGGGTTGCCAACCGTCCCTTGAAATACGGAATTGTCCCGTATTAGAGAAAAACTTTGTGCGTCCTGTATTGAACTGATACGGGACGGCTTTTGTCCCGTATTTTCAGAGCCACCTTAAATGCATCACTCACTCACTGCATGTCACAGGCGCGACACACGCACACACAGTAATGATCACAGTTTAAGCGTCTACCTTTCGGCCAATCAGGGTCAAATCTTGGCTTGATCACAGACGTTGGTTTAATGTTGACAGGCGCCAGCGTGGGCCGTGCCCGCAGCACCATCATGGCAGAAGTTTGGTAAAGTAGCGTCATTTTCCCAGATTCGGACTTCTGCGGTCAATAGCTCACGAAAGCTACTTTGTTAAACAAAAGTAATTGTACTAAAATGATCATCTCTACGTTGATTTCACAAATCCAGTGCGCTGTTTTAATGCAGAGAAATCCTTTGAATCCAATGCACTGCAAGCGCCTAGAAAAGCACTTAGGGACCGTCAACAAATGTCCAGACCAGCTTTGTAAACGAACAATAGCTTTTACTGAAGCCACAAACCTGCAGTACCTGCACAAAACTCTCAGACAATATAAATAATGATGACCATATCGAACTGCTACAGACTTTGATTTGTGAGTTTGTTTAATGAATACATATGTTTTTCTTTTTATATTTGCTTCTACAGAAATTGGTCTTTACTGTAACATTCATAAATAATGTATTGTTACAGTATTTGTCTTTTTTATATTTTTGTATTACTAATAAGGATGCATTAAGTCCTTAACCAGCCAAAGAGTTCCACCTATTTATTCAATTTCATTTTTGACTAAGGATTTGTTTGTTTTTTTATATGTATTCAATAAATTACAATCTAAAAACTGTGATTATGAAATTCCATGATTACTGTGTAGACTGAAATTAGGACTAAAAAGTGCTCAACCCGATCCACCCAAATGATGTCCCTTATTTTTTTGTTCTCAAGTTGGTAACCCTACTTCCTGTGCCAGACCCTCAGAAAGTACCAACAACATCATTCTGCATTTTAACAGCAGCTGTGAACATGGAAACTGAACTTAGAGCTTCGCGTGGTCTGGTTTGGACGAACGAAGGAGTAGAATTATCCTGTTGTAAAGTTTCTCTGCCCACTACTGGCCGGAATCTAGAACTACATCGTTTTTCAACCTCATGTGAACGCTGAGAAATTTGCATTAGGAGTCAGCCTGGTCGTTTCTGTTAATAGCCTGGAAACGTCTGCGCAGCGTCTCAGTATAAACAGGGCCATACATTCCAAGAAAAGTAGCAGACGGTAATGTGCTGTGATAGCACTGCAGCATATTCACTCAGTGTGCCTTGCTCTCATTAGATAAGTGCATCATGGACTTCACAATCCGCCAGTGCTAATAAAGGAAAGGAAAAGGCAACGGTGGCAGTCTGACCCACTGCTCGTAAACTACGTAACCTTTCTTAGAAGTTATAATGAAAACATTCGCAGAGGATGGCCATGCTGAACAGATAAGATAATTTCGTTCCAACCCCTAAACAAAGCCCGGCTTTATAGGGAGTGGTGTGATCACTGGAGGTTTGTGTGTGAGTCCAGCGCCTTCAGCAACATGAGCGTAGATTTCTCCAGAAATGCCACAGAGAGCCCCGAGGCCTGCAAAGCAGAAGTCCAAGGTAAGAGGGAAAATTAAGGGACCGAAGCAAATCATTTATGAGCAGGACGAAGATAAAGCTCAAGCTGATTTCTCTTGACCCAGGGAATATTCCCCACTGGCTCCAAGGAACGCTCCTGCGCAATGGCCCCGGGATCTTCTCTCTGGGAGAGACCAGCTACGAGCACTGGTTTGACGGGATGGCCCTGATGACCAGCTTCTCTTTTAAAGATGGTTTGTTTCACAGTTGCATTGTGAGAAAGATCCAATCAACCTTAGGGTTAACGTCTATTTTCACTGGCAGGTGAAGTGACCCACAGAAGCAGATTTCTCAGAAGTGACACATATAAGGCCAACATGTCGGCCAACCGAATAGTGGTGTCTGAGATGGGCACGATGGCATACCCAGACCCAAGAAAAAACTTCATTTTCAAGTGTGTACAAATGCAAGACATTGGTGAGCCACAAAGACAGTCCTGAATGATTATTCTTGTTGTCGCATTTCTTTTTCTCAGGGCAATTACTTTTCTTAACCACACTGTGCCTGACTTCACTGACAATGGTGCAAGTAATTTCATCAAGTATGGGAATGAATACTTTGCCACCTCTGAGACCAATTACATTCGAAAGATTGACCCGGTTACTCTGGAAACACAGGACAAGGTGAAGCAGAATCTAGTTGTTTTTGGCATTTCACTGTTTTACACATTGTATGTACGACTGTGCTCTTCTATTTGCTTAACAGGTGGATTACTTGAAATATCTCCCAGTCAATTTGGCTTCGTCCCATCCACATTATGACAATGAAGGCAACACTTACAACATGGGCACGTGTATCGCAGAGAAGGGCAAGACCAAGTATGTGGTGTTCAAAGTCCCAGCTCATCCAGATAAAGGTACTTTCACAAGACTTTCTCTGTCTTGAGTAATACTTTGTAATATCATTTAAAATAATAGAAAACAGTAATATAATGTAACATTATAAATAACAATATCTAACTGAAAAAAAGTTGTTGCACTGTCACTATGGCTGATTTGTGTCAATACTTTACAATAATCAGATACAATAAAAACATGTTTAACAATGATATTTAATCATTGAATATTCCTATGTTTGATTTCTTTTTTTTGTTTGAATGATGTACAATATTGTAAAAGGCAATTGTAAATGAATGATTTGCATGAAAGTTCTATGCAGTGACGTTTGATAATATTAATGTGTTTTGTTTTTTTAAGATTAGTTATTTTATTTAAAGTGAAAGGGACAATGTACAATAATCATGAACCCCAAAGGGAAAGATGCATTGTACCAGGTTTGAGCTCTGTGGTCCTTGGGCTGGTGTTATAATATACTATTCAAATAACAAACATACATGGATGTGCAGCTGTTTGATTCACATTGAACTCAAAATAGAGAAACACTCAATATTGATGTTTGGTTGTAGATGCAGTAAAGAAGGCAGAGGTGGTCTGCACTGTCCCCTGTCGCTCTCTCCTCACGCCGAGCTACTACCACAGCTTTGGGATGACCGAGAACTACTTCATCTTCATCGAGCAGCCTTTCAAACTGGACATCCTCAAGATGGCCACTGCTTACATGAGAGGAGTCAACTGGGCAAGCTGCCTCAAGTTCTGCCCCGATGAGAATGTGAGTTATTGATCCGTTGTTTTGAAAATGATTATGGTCCAAGGATGTTCAGCTATCTTAATTCTGTGTTTCTGTTATCAACAGACGCTGATCCATTTAATTGACAGAAAAACAGGAAAAGAGATTGAAACCAAATATTACACTGGAACAATGGTTGTTTATCATCACGTGAATGCTTTTGAGGAAGATGGACATGTTGTCTTTGATGTGATAGCATACAAGGATAACAGCCTTTATAATATGTTTTACCTAAGCAAGCTCAAGCAAAATCCTGGCTTTCAAGATGACGCCTATGTCAAACCAAACTACAAAAGATTTGTGCTTCCTGTCAAATCAGACAAGGTCAGTATCAACTAACTAATTAAACATCCATCATCTACAACACTTCTTTCTATCATGGATTGTCTGAAACAGGATGTTGCTATCGGAGAAGATATGGTGTCACTAAAGTACACAACAGCCAGTGCAGTCAAAGAAAAAGATGGAAAACTTATGTGCCAAGCGGAGGTGCTGTGTGAAGGTATAGATCCAACTAACTAAACTAGGGAATGAGATGACGATTACTGATGCTATGTTTCATACAGGCTTTGAACTACCAAGAATAAATTACAACAATAATGGCAAGAATCTTCGCTATGTCTACGGCAGCATTGTTGATGATTCTGCTGTTTCAAAGCGGGTAAGTACTGTATGTATGTAAGAGTCGGTTGGAGATCTTTTGATATAGGGGGAAAGGGAATCCATATCTTTGCATTGTTTTAGCATCCGAATATTCAGACAATACTGCGGCAATCCAGTGGAAATGTCAGTCAATCAATCTAAACTTCATTTGTGGAGCACATTTATAACAGCCTCAGCTTATTACCAAAGTGCTGTACGAACAGTAAAAACAGCACACAAAAAACACGTAAAAATACAGACATATACTGTATATACACATGAGAACCGAAAAGACTTGTTTCTTTCTACCTGGTATTAAAAGCCAAAGAGAAAAAGTGCATCTTAAGCAGGATTTAAAGTGCTCCAGTGGTTGTGCAAGAAGGGTTAAATTGTAGCTTTATTATATATACTGTACTGCCATATTCCCCCAATTCATCTGAAGATAAAAACTCAAGCATTTATTCCTGCTTTCCAGATTGGGAAGTTTGACACAGAAACTAAGACTATGGTTTATTGGAGTGAAGACAACAGCTTCCCATCAGAACCTGTTTTTATCCCCAGACCAAACGGAGAGTCAGAAGATGATGGTGAGTACAATTCTACAAACCATCATATATGCAAACAAACCTCATTAATCTCACTTAGTTTCATAACCTTTTGCTCTGTGCCATTAACAGGAGTTGTTTTAGTGTCGGTCACCAACTATGAGCCTGGTCATTCCTGTTTCCTTGCTGTTCTCGATGGAATAACGTTGAAAGAAGTGGCCCGAGCGAATGTGAAAGGCCAGCTCTACAGAGACGTGCATGGCTTCTACATCCCAAAAACCGACTAACCTGAAATATTTGTACAGATAAATGTCTAAAGGGTGTTCTCATGATGTAGTTTTGTAAAAAGTTGTTCAGAAAAGTTTTCAATGTGCAATTATGTGTTATTATTCTCTTAATTTTCTTTAAATGTTTACATGCATCTGTGAAATATGTTGTCTATACCCTTTTATTACTGAAATAACTTAAAATGTAATTTTGCATTTCATGAATCAATGTTCGTATAAAATTCACGTGCATCCTGTGCTATTGAAACGGTAGTTGGTTATTTTGACCACTAGAGGACGACAAACACAAGAGTCACGACATATTTAAATGTCTTCAAATTGTTCATTTTCATAGAATGGCAAAATAGATTAATAGAACATGTGCATAAAGTGTAAAGAAAAGTATCTTATAGGCTAATAAAAAATAAGTCCAAAGTCTAAAACATAAAAAAGAGGACGCACGCTAGATCTCATGCATTTCAAAATACCACAAAACAAATGCCTAAAACAAACTTTATCTTTGAATTATTCAAGTGTGTAAATCACAGTGTAGCATTTGACGTTCAAATGGTGACATAATCAAATGTTAAGGAAAATAATTGTTATTAAAATAATAATTATTGACATTAATTTTACCAAACTTCATTTGATCCATTAGATGCTTTGGGATAATAATCTCTTTAGTATATCATTATACTAGATGATGATGACCACAAAGGGTTTCTGAGGACATGCAGCCGTTAGAAGTGCTGCAGATACAAATACTGTAGATGTTTGTTTAGCAGCTGCTGTTGTCATGAGTTTCCACTTGTTTTGACAAAGAACTCTGCTTGAAGTGTCAGCTCTATCAGCTCAAGAAACAGATGAACTGCATTCCACAAACTATACAGAGATCAGATTCAGTTTATCTGCCATTTGCAGTAAAAACACCAAATTGGAAAACATAAGCAAAAAGTCTCCAGTGTGCACAGACAAATAAAGACATAAAACAACATTAAAAGACAAAAATAAAACAATAAAACAGTAAACAAATGTCACTGTGAAATCGATCGACTAAAACAGTTTCAAAACAAGTGCAAATCATTAAAGTGCTCTGTTCACACTGATAACAGCTTGTGGATAAAAACTGATAGCGTAACGAGATGTCCTGCATCTCAGAGAGCGATATCTTCTGCCAGAGGGAAGAAGCTGGAACATGGCTTTCCCAGGGTGGCCAGAAGAGTCATTGACAATCCTAAGCTTTGTTTAAAAGTCTGGATTTATAAAGAACCTCCAGAACAGGAAGCTCACAGCCCACGGTCCTCTTTGCAGAGCGGAGCACCTTGTTTAAAGCTCTCTTTTCTTTATCTGTGATGTTTCCAAACCACACAGACACAGAACCAACAAGTAAACTCTCAATGGTGCAGCGATAAAAGTTAAGCAGAATCTTAGAGTTAGTGGTAAATTCTCTAAGTTTACGCAGAAAGTAGAGACGCTGACGAGCTTTCTTAACGACTCGGTCAGTGTTTTTAACCCATTTCAGGTTAGACAGAGTTAAACCCAGAAACTTGCACTCCTCTACGATCTGCACCTGGGAGTTGTCAATAACAACAGGCAAATGAGAACTATTGCGACTGAAGTCGTAGACCAGTTCACATGTTTTCGATGCGTTCAACTGGAGGTTGTTAGTTTTACTCCACTGAACCACATGTATCTCTGCTCTATAAGAGCCTCCTTCTGTAGAAATGCTATACCTTTCATAATAACTTTTTATTTGTTTTTCTTAAACATTTTACTTCCATGGAATCACGAGGCCGACATGCTATCCCTGGAAAGTTACGTACCGTTTCATTCATTTCATGGCTGATACAGAATAGTGCTTTCTTTGACACCAATGTATCAATGAAAGCATCAAACTGTGATTTAAAATATTATAAGTTTCTGTCTTATAGAAAAAACCCTAAAATAAATCAAACAATACATAATACTGATACAACCACAACTAATAACAATAATTATTTCAGAAGCGTCAACAGAGTTATTTAAAGTCAGTAATGTTGAGATGTTTGAGGCTTAGAGTGTCCAGCTCCTTCCTCCTCCAGCTTCCACATTCCTTGTGTATGAATTGTGCATAACAAATAAACTTGCCTTCCTCCAATGGTTCCATTTCGTGGATGGCAATACTGTTGCTGATCATCGAGAGGACAGGAAGCTCTCATGGGACAATACTTCCATCAGAGCAGCAATATCTCCCCAGAGAAAACCCTGTGAAAAAAGAACACAAATATTACATGATGTTTCCATGAGATTCAAAATAATAACACAAACAATTATAATCGATTCTCTTATGAATGGGTTGAAGTTCCTAAAACTGAAACAGGAAGCTGAAATTAATCAATTGTCTATGCAACAAGTCATAGCACAAATTAACCTAACTATAGAGCCATGGGCGGCACAATGAAAGATGCTATAAGTAGAAAACACATGAGAAGAAGAATGCTTTGGTCTTGTGTTGACATTCTCCTGCTCTTTATGAACCCGCTAACGGTCCATGCACCGTGCAGCTTCTTGGTGAGTCCACTCATCATATCATTGTGATTTTCTGACTCTTGTATTACCAACAGTGACCTTACCCCCGTCCACTTGAAGCTATTTCATGAGCAGTGAGAGCTGTAATCGACCAGTTCTATTTGTAGACATGGATGGCTCCTGTCATGGTCTGTGCAAACTCCCACTCAGCTGTCACAGTCGGGGTGTCAACATCAGCATCACCTATGTTACATATGTCACACCTTTATGTGCATACAAACATTCTTCTCTCAATAAACAAAACACTATCTTATAAAGGAAGCATGTTTTGTTGAACATTAAACCGAAAATAAAAAAATAAAAGACAATTAAGAACTAACGAGATATACACTGTATGTGATGTCTTCTAACAGAGACATGGATACAGTACATTACATCCATCCATCCATCCATTTTCTTCCGCTTTATCCATTGCCGGGTCGCGGGGGCAGCAGTCTAAGCATAGACGCCCAGACTTCCCTATCCACACACACTTCCTCCAGCTCATCCGGGGAGTACATTACAATTATAGTAAAATATACATTCGGTGTATTATACTGAATGTTCCATAATAACAGAAATCATCCCTCAATGATTTACATGCAGCTGTGTGTGTGTGTGTGTGTGTGTGTGTGTGTATGAAAGAGAGAGTGAGAGAGAGAGAAAACACTGATCTTTTGTAAAGGGAGAATGAATACAGAGGTTGTTGTTCAGTGAGAAGGATGTGAAGTTGAATTGCTTCTTTCAAAAACACATGGATATAATATGGTCAAAACATGGTGTGAATGAACAAGAAACACTTAGGAACATTTGTTTCAATATTGGAGCATTCATTCAAAATAGTTATTAGCGAAAAGAAGTTAGGCACGGTGGCTGGGTGTATAGCACTCTCGCCTCTCAGCTAGAAGGTCCTGGGTTCAAATCCTGGTCGGACCAGGGCCTTTCTGAGTGGAGTTTGCATGTTCTCCCCGTGTCTGCGTAGGTTTCCTCCGGGTACTCCGGTTTCCCCTACCACTAAAAATATGTCCAATAGTTCAGGCATGCGCCTCCTGTACTGGCGACCCCGCTCCCATCTCTGTGTGGAGTGAGAGGACAAGTGCCCGTAATTAACAATTGTAAACTGCTTTGAGACTCAGATCTGCAGTGAAAAGGCGGTATATAAATAAAGATTACTTACTTACTACTACTACTTCTGCCCCGCTCAAAGACTGATCCATGTACACACTTATATATGCAATTCAATTCAATCCAGTTGAATATTTATATACAGTATAATATGTACTTCTATTGCACCGTGGATGCACATAACCCTGTATGCCATAAATAGGATGTTAACAAAACAAATTAATTCTAATTTTAATTATACAGTATCCTCATAACAATTAATGTTTGTTAAAATTGTCATTGTTCATTGTCACTGTTCAAGTAGAATTATGAATCATTTCTATTTTCCAACCTAATTATCTAAATGTTCTCAGTACATAATTTTGAGAAAGTCCTGTCAGTCACTGTGCTGATAAGCTAAGTGAGGAATGTTCTGCCTGAAAAAATCTAATTTCTAGAGGCACTAGTTATGTATTCATTTACGCATTTAGATTGTATTAAAATAAATGATCCATTGCATTATCCATCTAACACAGCATAGTGAGATTGATTTTATTAAATATATATTATTAAAGGTTTGACAGTTACGTTAAAACCACAGCTTAAATAGGGACTGGAGAATGATAGGGAGTGCGAAAACCCCATTGTCACCATGATGCCTCCCACAGGCCCCCTCTGGCAAACATGCGTAACTACACCAGGGCCTGACTAACCAATCAGATCACGCGATGTTGCCACGTGAAGGAGCGTCAGTTGCCATTAGTTGCCAAGAACAATAACAACAAGATAGAGCAGTGCAATATTGTTTCACCAATTCAACACTTTCTAAGCACGAAACACAAGCCGTGCAGAACAAATATATATGATTAAAAACACTACAAGTAACCCAACAAGTATTTGGCTCTGAAGATGGGGAAAAAGGTCGTGTAAATTGTATTTGGGTTACTCTGGCGAAACCGGAAGTCGCGTTGCTCCATCTACTCTCCGTGGAAACAGCATCAGCAAAGAGATCACCAAGGATGGACGAATTTGAAGGTAACGATGTTGTAATTTATTGTATTTTTCTTGTCGCTGTTTATAGAATCATAGACGCACTTTGCCAGGACTTTCATTAATATATTTCCTCCCTGACGCTTTTCCCTACTCCTTTGTGTGTGTGTGTTTGTGTGTGTGTGTGATTTAAAGCTAACGCGCTAAAGGGCCAAAGATGAAGCTAGCGGTTCTTTACACCCTGATGATTGTGCTAGTACTTTATTAATACCTGTAAATCATGTGATCTGCAGCTAACTAAAGCATGTTAATTGTTGTTTAGTGTTTCTAGGGTATTATTTTATACTGAAATATTTTCCTTTCTTCCATTGCACTAGCGACTTTCCCCTCCCCTGTTCTCATGTGTGCACATTTCTCCTTTACATAAAAGTAAATTCATTATATTCAGTTGTAATCTTCAGTACATATAGTCAACATTAACTAAGCTATTAATTTTTCAGATGGAGCAGCTCCTCCTGATCAGGACCTGCTTCAATGCAACATTTGTAATAGAAGCTTTTTACCTAAAGTTCTGGTATGCAATTATATCTAGTGTTTTCCACCTACAATATAAACATATCATTAACATGTTGTCCATCTAATATAAATCGGCTGTGAACAATGTGTGCAACCAATTTACAAAACCGACTTCTCTTCCATCTCTTTAAGGAAAAGCATATAAAACTTTGTCAAAAACAGGCTGCCAAGCGGAGGAAGGTTTTTGACTCAAGCAGACAGAGAGCTGAAGGCACAGACATTTCCACACTCAAACCCCTGAAACCAAAGGTAAGACCACAGCAGAAATGACAAAAACCTTATTATCAGCACTACACACCAGCATAGTCAAGAATCATATGATCAATCTGGTGCAACAAATCAACCCTTTGTTGAAAGTAACATGGGCCCTTCAAGAGTGGATTTTCACTATTCCAGTATTTTATGTTTGCAAATAAGTTTGGAATATAAACAACTCTTAATTGTATTTCAGTCACAAAGTTCATCTTCATCTGTAAAAGTAAGTTTATTATATTGAATTTGGTTCACAATACATGCTTTCTCCATGTAACTGATATGATTTTCCTCAGAAAATTAAATCATTTATTGGTCTATGCTGACCATCAGGATGCAATAATAATTCTTTTTACCTGAGCTATAGAGCTCTTCCTGTAACACTACTCTACAAGTTTCCTTCTTGGCGTCATTGTCACATTATCTATTGCATTCTAAAAACGGATAAGAAAGTGTTAAAATACATGTAAAAAGATCCATATACTAGGGCTTTGTCTGGAAGAACACAATAGAAATGGCTGTAGCCTCTCAGATGAAACCAAAGGGAAGCGGGTCATGTTTCTGAAGACACGAGATGAGTGCTCTAGTTCTGTCCATGTTCGTTAAGCTGTAGCAGGAACTATAAGAGTCTTAACAGTACAATAAATCAGATGTATTTTTTCTTGTTATGTTAAAATGGTCTGACCCATTATGTATTTTTGAAGGCAGAGCCGCCTAAAAAGCCTAACAACTGGCGCAGGAAACATGAGGACTTCATTGCTGCGATCCGGGCTGCGCGATCTGTCACTCGGGGCGTGAAAGACGGTGCTCCTTTACCTCCTCCTCCTCCTCCAAGTTATGACCCAGGTATTTGAATATGATATTCCTGTGTTGTTATGAAATTGCATATTTTCCAATGATTTTTATTTGTAGACTACGTCCAATGCCCTTACTGTCAGCGGAGGTTCAATGAGAATGCAGCTGATCGACACATTAAGTTTTGTCAGGAGCAGGCCGCCCGAATGGGGAATAAAACCAAGGTAGAAGTCAAGAAACCCCCGACTCGAACACCGGTAATGATGGATAACTAGGATATATCACACAAACAGACACTCTAATATTAATGAGAAACTGATGAGGACTTTTTTTGTTTAGCTCAAGCCCCCTGCTTCTAAAAAGACCACTCCAGCTCCTGTATCCGCCACTCCCCCTGCGTCCTCTCGTTTACCACAGAGGGCAGGTTCAGGGCAGTCCATAGGTGAGGCCCTATGAACTTTTAAACATGGTGCTTTTAAATTTCTTTTGTGTCATATTGAGGGATTATCCTACTCTCTTATTTTTTAGGGATGGCTGGTAGGACGCCTCCAGTTGGTGTAGTGAAAAGTAGTCCTTCGGGACTGACAAGCCCACCCTCCGGGTCAGTAGACATTTAGGAATATGATTCTGTTTTGCCACTGTTGTTTCACCAAATGTAATATTTCAGGGTGGGAATGAAGTCCAGAGTCACAAGTTCTGGGTATGGTTCTGTTAGAAATGCACCTGGAGGTGGGGTCAACAAAAAGAAAGTGGACTCCTATTCATCATGGTAAGAGCCTAAGCGCATTCTACAACAGTGACCTCTAGTGGAAGGATTTGAAACCTACAATTTTACCTCTGATTGTACCTCTCACAAGGACCAGCATATCAGAAACTTTATACATCACTGTTTCTGGACTTTATTGTTGGTTTGGGTTTTATTTTTGGTTGATTGTTAATTTGATTAATGACACAGTACATTCATTTACTGTATTACAACCAAAAAGCATTGGGCCAAAGCAACTTTCCTTTGTAAGTCAATCATAACATTTATTTATTTCTATTCTTTCAGGAATGATATTGATGGTAGTAACAATGTTGAAAATGGAGTAAAGAGCAAGTTCTGTCATGATTGTGGAGCGAAGTATCCGGTGGAAACGGCCAAATTCTGCTGTGATTGTGGAGTCCGAAGGATGTGTATCTGATAGTGGTTGACCTTTACAGTTGGGAGAGTGAATGCTGCAGCTTATTTATAAATAAAAAGATATCAATGGAAAAAAGTTTGTTTTGAAAATCTCCAGCAGAAAGTCTAAAAGGCAGAGCTATTAAAGCATTGCACCGCCCAATTATAACTCGATTGTATCATGAAGAACATTCTAATTCATTGGCACACAGTTTATCAAATAATTCAGACAAATGCATATCGACCCACATAATCCCATTCTGTGGTTTGTCCCATTTAACAGAGTGCATAAGAAGCATGAGGAAATGCGACAAAAACTATTTTTGATTTTGAATTTTAATTCCTGTTTTCCACAGATTTTAAATTAGACACATTCCTGAAATCCCTGCTGTCTGCCCAATTTAAATCTGTATTCTTAAAAAGTGCAATATAATTGACTACTGAAAATGTGGTTTTGTTCTGGGGAATCCTCCTCTGACACTTTATGTCTAGCCTCTATTTCCAAGTTTTCTTTTCTAATGTAGTTTTGTTCATATCCTTTTGCTCAGTCATTTCAGATGTTATTTATTTTAGTTAGTCCATTTCAAACGGTCACAACATTTAATTGAGAGAATATGGATTCAATTGTATATTTGTATTGGTTTTTTAACAGATTTTCTAAAAACCCAAGCTTTCTGTCTAACATTTCAATGTGTGCTGCATCTGTTCGTCATCAGAATATTAGTCTGATGTATCATATCATGCCACTCCTATATTTGATGCTTTCTACAATGAATCAGTCACTACTTTATCATTTGATGTTGGTCCTTTATTTTTCTTTTCTGTAAATGAATGAAGACATGAACTATTCATTGAATCCAGTATTTCCATATTTACATTAGTAACTGGTAGTTGCAGGTATGATATAATAGTATATTTCAGAAAAAATGTAAAGGTTTGTCCAACAGTTCACATTAATGCTGTATGTAAAACCACATCTCCATTAACAATAAACTATGGAGACAGCTGTACAAATCACTGCTTTTTGTTTGCTGGTTTTTTCTGAAATCTATTTGTATCTCAGTGCACTTGGTACAGATGTCATCCATTTGTTTGTACAAGGTATTTACTTATCTCTATGCATTTGGCAAAACACAAACTCACTTGTTCTTAATACATGTTCTATGGCTGTAAATAAAAGGACATTTTAAGGTTGCATTCATTACAAATGTAACAACTAACAGAAATATTTAAAGGTGCATTCCTCAACTGTTGTGGTTGCAACCTGCTTTTTTGTGACGTGGTCCAATACCTGCTTCTTGCTTTAACTCATTTTGTGCCATTGACATACGTCGATTACATTTTCTGCTATTTTCATGTTCTCAGATGTCTATTCTATCTAATTTGTATAGCTTTAGACCATATTCTTTTTGCTGATGAAAGTAGACAGTCCATTCTTTCAGAATCTGGTTTTGGGTTTCAGATAGAACTCAATGTTCTGTGGGTCTTGAAAAATCCATAAAAATCCTCAAACTGCTGGCAATATGGGAGTACCTGTTCCGAAATAGGCTGGCATGCAATAGTTGAAAGCATTAAAAACTTTTTTTTTCCTACAGTGAAAAGAAAACATTTACTGTAAACGTGACATGAATATTCAGACAAAAACAACCACCACCAGAACAGTTGAGGAATGCATCTTATACACAAACAAGTCGTTGACTTTTTCAAAGAGAAAGCAAAACTGAAAGCACCCATATTAACAGCGTTTGTGTTAGTAATATTTTACTGTTCATATATTTTAATTAAGACAGCGTTATACCAGAGGTGTCCAAACTAAGGCCTGTGGGGCTATTGCAGCCGCCCGTGTCATTTCATGTGGGCCTCTTCCTTGCTAGCACAACGTAGTCTTTGAGATCAGAAACACAGGTTCACAGTGTCATCCAGTCAACTTTAGCTCTGCCAACATAGGCATGTTATCCCTTGTTGCTTAGAATCTCTGGGATCCAGTTTACTGACATTTATTTTGGATTGTATGACCATATGTATCTGGTGAGTCAACATTTGTAATTTGGCCAACTTCAGCTTCATCCAATGTGAACCAATGCAGACATTTCCTACCTCATTTTAAAGCTCAGAACAGAATCCAGTCGATCTGTGATGTCGGTCTCTGCACCATTTTGGTGAACTGGAAAGGGGTGGCCCTCTTACTAAAGAGTGTGGGCACCCCTGGCTTATACATTCTCATTTCAGAGCTCATTACCCACAATGGATACATGTTTGTAGTATATATATTATTTAACAAAATCTCGACAAATGAGCCTAAAAAACATGTTCTGCTAATTCTTGCAGACAGTGCTAGTCCAGGATAAGTGTCCTCTGCCAGTTCATGCATGTGAGTTCAGATACTGGTAGCACTGAGCCAGGGAGAACAGCAGGGTCTTTGTCCGGCACAGTTTCTTCAGTTTTTTCTCATGTCTCCCTCTCCTTTTTGGTCTTCCAGTCTAATCCAAAAAGAATCACAGAACAGTACACTATTTCATAACATGTATTATTTAAAAACAATATTCAATTGCGGTGGAAAGTAACACCCACAGCATAATTGATTGCATGTATTTTAGATGGTGGTCATACTGACCTGTAGCTTTTTCACAAACTGAATTTGTGAATGTTTCTTTTAACCTGCAAACTCACCAAGACCAAGACAGAAAGAGTGTTCTTCCAAATATCTATGTGGATGGTTTGATGATCAAAAATGTCCAAGAAATCAAGTACCTAGGTGTAATGCTGAATCCTACCCTTAATTTAAAAAACCATGTTAAAAAGGTTTGCCGCGTTCTGAAATTTAACATCGCCAACTTCCAGCACATCAGGAGCTCTTTGTCATTGGAAGCAGCTAAATCATATCTTAATGCAATGATTATATCTCATATCATGTATTGTGTGTCTTCATGGTCTCAAGCTAAAACAACGGTTTTAAACCCCCTTAGATCGTTGTATAACCAGGCTTTGAAAGTCCTGGATAAAAAGCCTCGCCGGTACCATCACTGCAATATACTTGAAAAATACAGCATTCTAAGCTTTGACAATCTGATTAGGTATTCCGATGTACGTTTGGTTCATAAGATTCTTAATGATACTGCCCCACCCCCCCTAAAAACATATGTACAGCTTCGCTCACAGCTAACCAACAGAGCATTAAGATCTGTGTCCAGGGGAGACTGCAATGTTCCTAAGAGAAAGTCTGCCTTCTCTCAATCAGCCTTTTCCTACAAAGCCACTAAAGAATGGAATGGGCTCCCAGACAATCTAAAAAAAACAATGCAGATTTCCACAGTTTTTCACAGGCAGTTAAAGACTGGCTTTTAGATCAGCAGTCCTGCTCGCACTAAAAGTACCAGATGGGTACTTGGCCATCAGGTGTTACCCTCGCGGGTATCGTCTGATGGCCACCACACTATTAGTGTTAAAAACTATTGTATCTATGTGCCCAGATAGATACAGTAGCGACAGTAGCTCAGTTGGTAGAGCATTGGCCTTTGAGCCTGAAGGTCGTGGGTTTGAGCCCACCTCAAGACCTACTTCACGACTCCCACTGACCCTGACACTGACACTTAACCCCACTTAGCCTGAAGCCCCCACTGAAAGATCTCAGCTCCTGTGGACTCACCACCTGCAGGAGGATCAGTGAGGGGCTGGTGCTCTGTGACTGGGTGCAGCTCTGACTGCCACCCCCCCGACCCAGAAATGGATTTAGGGGAAGATAATGGATGGATGGATGGATGGATGGTATCTATGTGCTAATCATGTATAGCTACAAAATAATTGTGAAAACTGTTACACTTTGTCATTCTGCACTTTATGAATGCAACTGGCACTTTTTATTTTTATTTGCACTTTTTATCTGCACTTTTCATCTGCACTTTTACTATATATAGCACAAATGTTTATTGTCTATGTTTTGTATTTTAATTAACTCTGTTATGTATTTTAATTGTATTTTTGATTGTATAAGGACTACAGATGGAAATTAGCATTGTGCTAAATCTGGGGCAGCCATCTTTTTAATGTACCTGTCCGTTGTCCTTTTAAATAAATAACTAACTAACATTGCCTGGCTTGGAGAATAATGTGGTACTTTAACACTCCTAAATTTATGGTGAAAAAAAACAAAACTCATATGGCCTTTTCTTCCCTTGGTATGTATAGCCAGGTAACTGGGAGTGCACGCTTTCTCCACAGTATATAAGTGTTAGGTAATATTGTTTTTTATAGCTGCCAGATTTGATGACTCAGGCCTGAACTACGAACCTGCATCATCAAAATCAAAATCAAGGCTTTGCCAAGATCTTTTTAAGCCTTTGCCTTGTGCTTTGGTTTTCACACAACGCACCAGGAAATACCTCAGACTCCTGACTGCCACCATATCTTAACAAGCGCCAAAACAGGACTAAATAGGACAACAGTATCTCAATAGAGGTTAGAAATAAAACATCATTATAAAATATATGAATCAGGATTTTTCCTCCATTTTCAGACATCTAAATTTTTGGTTTAACTTACTCTACTTTCATTCAATTTAACAAAATGACTGGTAGAATTCAACATTCCTACAAAGGAATGTTGAATTCTACCAGAAGCAGCAACCATCCATGGAAACACTCCAATACCACAATATAGTAGATTTAAACAAAATACATGTTTATGATTTAATAAAAAGTGTATGTTGTGTTCCTTCATGAGATCCAAACGAAAAAACTCACCGGCCTCCCGGAACAGGGGCACTTCAGAGAGTACTGCACAGACTGTGTCAGTTGATGGGTGTGATCAAGAGGAAGGTTGTTTATTCTGCAGGCAATGTTGAACAAGCTCGACACAATGCTCTAAAAGATAATATGAACATGAAATAAAGGCTGTGTAATTTGATCAGTAAATAAACTTTATACTCACCCTGTTGCCCATTGAGCACTGGGGAATATGTTTGATTTCCGTGCAAATGACGTTCTTCAAGAAATCATCATTAATTCTCTTCTAAAGCACACACACATCTTTTGAGAAAATGAACTTGGACAAATATATACTGTATAGATCTTACCGCGTTCATTAACTCTGTTTGTATGGTTGCCATGTAATCGTCTGTTATGTTTTTGAGGGGCTTTGCGCTGGAGCAGGACAGAGTTGTGAGAGGCAGAAGGAGGAGGATACAGATACTGGGGTACAGAAGAGGCTGAGGGCACACACATGAGACAAAAAAGTCAATACAATTATTATTATACAAGGAAATATTAGCAACTTCCACAGATTGAACAATTACTTCAACACATTTTCAAGGATTTGTGTCAGAGTATAATCACTGTCTCAACCCAATACTTGAATGTTTTGGTCACTATTCAAAAGTTGTTATTATATTGCCAATGCTAAATGACAACATTCCTATACGGTTCAATTGTACTACTCAATCTCTTTATCATCCCTATTCTATATAATATGTTTTTTCCTCATGTTTGTATGAAAACCTGCGGAGGGCAAAAGGTGCGTCTCTCTCTCGCTCTCTTTCTCTCTCTATGAAATACTCTAGATTTCCACCATCTTACTCTTCCAAAGGAAAATTAGAATTTACTTTTTCATTATACCAAAGACCTAATTTACTAATAATCTAAAGAAGACATCAACAACAGTTAACATACACCATTTACATCTATCGTAACATTTAAAGCACATAAATTATGAAAATAAAATACAATGTATATAAAAATAAAAAATGTACAGTTTGGTTCATACACTAGTTATCACTTTTTTCAACCAGAAAAGTAGAAAAGAGAGAACCACCCTCTCAAATATATATATGAAAAACATGTTTTCTTATATTAAGACAGGATGTTGTGGTCTGACTTCTCATCCCTGCATTTAACTTTTACAGGACTGTTCTGTTTGAACAAACTAAGTTTATTTACACTTACACTTAAGTTTATTACACTATTTATGGCAAAAGAAATAAGTACCTCCACTTTAAGTCTATTTATATTTTTCAACAGCACTTCATTGTGCTGATTCCTGATTGGAGGACGAACAGCGACGTTCCTGGAAATATACAAGGCGATTCCCGTAAATCTGTACATATCTTTTCGGTTTCCTTCTGACTGGAACTTTAATCTGGCGGAATTCCCCGGAGTGGGAAGCTTTAAAGCCTCCAGCCCAGCCACAGCCGTCACACGCTCCGAGAGACGATGCGCCGCGGTCCTCCGGGTGAGTTTGTTAGAGTTTGTTAGACTTCACCTGCACTGCATATAGCATTGTTTATATTGATATTAGATCGATTACTCATAGCTGCTCTGATCTGCTGTTGTCAGTGCGTCGCGTCAGAACATAGTAATCTTACCCTGCGTTACTTCCGTCCCCATACACAGGTTTCATTTTGCTCTGATGAATGACCTGAACGTAAGTTCGTTTGCAAAGAAGAACAGCTGTGCTTTTGGTCTAAATTCCGAGACTGGAGTCTCTTAGGAAAACTATATTATAGGTTATGCTTTAGTTGTGTAACCAAATAAAGTTACTGTATCTATAATGTGAATCAAATCATAAATTTGAGATTTTCACCATCAGAAGTCCCTGTGCTATTTTAAGCACAGCAGCTTCAATGCGTACTGCTCATTATTTATTCACTCCTCGCTTTATGGAATTAAATAACTTTTTTGCCACAGCTGCCCTGTGGCAGACTGATTTGATAAGTGCCAATAATATTGAGCCAGCTCTCTCCGCAACTGAGCGGATCTTGTCCATGGAGTGATATTATTACATTAAATGTAATGCTATGTCGTACTTAACAGCTGTTATGAAGAGCGAATAAACAACACCCCTCACAAAAAGTTTTCCAAAGCCTAAGTAAACATTCTGCATATTGTGAGAAACTGAGTCTGTCTTTCTGCTTGACAGACCTGCTGTAATTAAAAACATCCATCAGAATCTGACAAGTGCCTCGTGGGACACGTTCATGATCTTGGTAACCATGGTGACGCCTGACAAACATACACTTATGAAACTTGAGAGAAATAGTTATTTCCTGTTATTTTGTTAGCCGCTTAAACTGTGTGAGAAAGTTTCTTCATACAGACTAATGACATTATACACAAACTGTTGGGTTCAAATTGAATTGGGCCGATAACTGCTGCTGTGCCAGTGCTGTATAGATGGGTAGATAGAGATAGATAGATCGATAGATACTTTATTGATCCCCATTGGAGAAGTTAATGTGCTCAGTAGCAGCAGATACTCTTCCATCCACACAAACTAAACAAATAATTACATAATTCTAAGAATAGCTAACAATAGTGTTATAATGCAACAGCACTTTGGTCACAGCAGCAGCTGGAGTAGCCGCTTGGTTTGAACCATTTTCTCTCCTCTCTTTCAAAGTAAAACGCTGCATGCATCATTAACATTTTAAACAAATTTAGTATTCCTCCAGTTTATTTGCCTGATCCGCTTGTTTTGGACCATGAATCTGCTCCGTTACGGTCTGGACCAGTGCAAAACCATGAACACTGTACTGCAACAACATCTCAGGTAGAAAGAAGCAAGAAAAGAAGTAATAACAATTGTAAAGCACAGTGAAAAAACTGTTTCTGGGTTATTTAATCACTAAACTCTCATTGTTTTTGACCCAAGTGCTTTTGTGTGTGTAGTTATCTATAATTTATTTTGTTATTTGTACACTTCCATCCATCCATCCATTTTCTTCCCCTTAATCCATTTCTGGGTCGGGGGGGGCGGCAGTCAGAGCTGCACCCAGTACACAGAGCACCAGCCCCTCACTGATCCTCCTGCAGGTGGTGAGTCCACAGGAGCTGAGATCTTTTCATATTTGTACACTTGTAAAATGTAATTCAAATATTTGAGGGTTACTTATAAATAACTTAGCCACAATTAGTAAACATTTGTTTTTTGTTTCAATACTGTTCTTTTAATTGGGACTTTATAGAAAAAGGACTGCTTGTCTCTGTCACATTGGACTTGACTTTGAAACTTATACAAAAATGAATCTTGCATAATGCGGAAATGTGAAATATTACTGGAAGCATTTACTATAAATGGTGTTGCAAGATTTTAGACATGGCACTTCATACACACTAGTGCATAAAGTGCCAGGTTATTTAATGTTTGATCCCGTGTGGGTGATTTCTCTGGGATTGTTATCTTCAAAATCTTTCAGTTTTAGTGTAAATATGACTCTGAAAAAACCCTCTCATATGACATCATAGAGAGTCCTCCTGTAACTTGCAGCAGTAACAAAAGACATCCTTGTTGAACGTGTGTAGGCCGAGTAACGACTCAGATTATAAATTAGGATATGATGGCTGCATGAAGCCCTCGCTCAATTAAACATTGGGGTTGTTCAAGTTAAAATCCAAGCCTGTTTTGAATTTATGTGGAATTGTTTCTATAAGATGAAAAATGTATACATTATATGTAAATATTAGTAAAATGCCTTTAATCAAAGCAAGACCAGAAAGGACAGGTAACAGTTTGGTTCATTCACAGTTTGCTGAGTTTATAAAGATTGACATCATGACATCACGACAATGTGACTGTTTTTTTTTTCCTTGGGGACAGAAGGAAAATGCACATCATTCCTGATAAATAACTGCTGCATTGTGTTTGTTTAAGGCAGTTGTGTGTCTATGAAAGTATTCTTGTTGACTGTTATTTTGGGTTTTTAGATGACTAAAGTTATTTTTGACCCAACCTTTTTAGTGAATAGTATTCTATGATTATTGTTTCCTTGTATTTATTCTTATTTGTATATTATAAATACTATATTTGAAATAAAGTAAAATAGATGCAATAAGTTAACATTTGTTTTGTTTTTTTCCAAAACTGTTCTTCTGTATGTTTGAACTTGACTTTGAAACCTATAATACATTTCGCACAATGCGGGCATGTGAATATTACTGGAAGCATTTAAAAGCAAGATTTTTCATGAATGAGGAAGTTGATAAATGACTCTTATATGGTAAGCGTCCATGTGCAGCCTGTGCTGCTGGCCTCATTGCCTGCAGGAGCAGAGCTTGAGTGAACTAATATGAGCAAAGCCTCGGCAGCATTTGTGGAGCGCTTCACAGAAGAGTGGAGCTTGTTATAGCTGCTGCTTTATCTGTGGATCCACGTCTGTGACAAACACATTCTGGGAAAACTCGCTGAATATCCACCTGTAATCTTCTCTCTTGGGTCTTCTGCAGCTGCGAGTGGCTATGTGAGCATGAAGAAGATGACAAAGTCTGGGCATACAAATGAAAGTGTAATCCAAAAGGCAGTTTATAACACACCACATAACAGGAAGAATTTGATGCAATTTACCTTTTCAGGCTTGAAAACGTAACTGCTGACCTTTTTATGAATGTTATGTTTGACCGGGACCTACTTGTTTTACATACCATGCATACTTTGGAAGTGAGTTCATATTGTGACTGTCCAAAAAGGAAACCTTTATATAATCACTATTGACCTAGTTTTCAATCAAACACTGGACTTATCTGTGGATGTAAAGTACCCTGCAATATTGATTACTAAAGAATACAAGACTGAGATAAGATAAATAGAATTGATCCTTTGGTGCCAAAGCAGCAGAATAGCTATATAAGCTCCTTAATCAAGAACATAAAAAAAAATTGTTATTGATTTTAACGGTCCTCTGTCTCCTAGTTCATTTTCAGGGCTTCACTTTTTCTGTTTCATATGAAAACGTCATGGGTTAGAGTGTTAATAGTATGTAGCGCCCCCCGGTGTTGATTTCTAAAACGTCACCATTAAACAGCACATAGACAGGCGTGTATGCAAAGTGTTTAGAGCGTGCTTATCAGCAATGAATTGGTTTATTATATACATATAAAGGGATTCATGATTTTGAAATAAGCACGCTGTATTTAGAGGGATAACGTAAACGTAGTAAACATGTATTAAAGGTT